GGGATTTTCAAGGAGCTGCTCGGCAGTGAGCAGGGACATCAGCTGGAGCAGGGAGGATGAGGGGTTGGGCAAGACCTGCTCTCAGTCAGGTGCCAGTGGCAGTGCTGGTGATGAATTGTATGTTAATTTATGCTAATTACGGTTATCCTCAGGCCGCAGCTGGAGAGCAGACAGGTCAGATACACTTGTTAGTCCTGCTAAATCATCATCACCCCTGGAAGAGAGGTGCAGGATATGGTCCTGCATGAGAGCTGGATCCTGGACACTGAGCCCGTGTGCCAAGGGAAGGGGAAAACCAGGGGCCAGTCTGGGGTCAGCTTTGAACCTTTGTGATTTGGGGCTTCTTGACACAGAGGTGGGATTTTTGTGTTCTGCAGCTCTTGATGAAATTGATTATCCTGTTACAAAGGTCCTGTGCAGGCAAAGGTCAAATCCTGCCCACCTCCCTGAGTGCTGATTTCTTTGGGTCTGGCTGCACGTCCAGGACTGTCCTTGGTGGACCCTGAGGGTAAAACCATGGAACAGGCCCTCAGAAGTTCTTCTACTCCAGCTTTTCATGGGGAAAGGAGTGTGGATGAGATTATCTGGGTAGGGACAGGGCAGGGACATCCCTGCTTGGTTCGGTGCTTTCTCCCAGCTCCTTTAGTGCAGACCCCTTCAGTTTTTGCTGCTTTCTCACAGGTCTGGAGTTGTCCCACTGTGTCGGGACCAACCCGCTGGGTCCCCCGGGGCCTTGGAGGTCGGGGGGGCCCTGCAAGATGAAGAGAGTCCGCACGGTCTTCAAACCAGAGCAGCTGGAGCGGCTGGAGCAGGAGTTCCTCAAGCAGCAGTACATGGTGGGCACGGAGAGGGTGGACCTGGCTGCAACTCTGCATCTCACAGAGACCCAGGTAAGGGACAGGGAGCTGAGCTGGTGGAACTGATCCTGGGGCTGCTCTGTGCTCATGGTCCTGACCTGCCCACTGGGAGGAGGACACGGTGCAAAGCGACCCGTGGGACACCCTGCTGCCAGGTGACATCGAAGAGATGTGCCTGGAGATGAAGAGATGGTTTCTGAATCCATGAAGTGGAACAAAAAGCATTCAGGAGCATAACCCTGCTGTGCTTTAGAGTTCGAGCTGGGCTGGTTGCTGTGTCTGCATTGTCACCATCCTCTGGAGACTGTTTCAAGTGTCCTTTTATGACACTGGATATAATTGTTTCCCTGCTCTGCCCTGTGAGTTCCTGCTCCTCCCACTGTAAATTGCTTGTTTAGCGTGGAAAGAAGGAGCCAGGTGATCTTCCACAGTGGGATCTAAATTCAGCTGGGAAAAAGGGAGAGCAAACCAAGGCCAGTTCTGGGGGACAATGGATAATTATCGGGGGTCTCATCAATGCCCTGTGGCAACTGCAGTCCTGAGGATGGGTTCAGGGGCTCCTTAGGGAGCTGCTTCCTTCACTTCCCTGGCCAGAGCCTTCTCAGTGCAGCTGCACCCCTTTGCCTCCTGATCCTTTCCCACCACAGCTCTGTCCTCTGTAGTTTCACCTCCTCCTGTTCTCCTTCACTATTCCCTGAGGGAATAATGCACATCCCAAATTTAAGGAACTCTGCTTTTTAACTGCTTTGAGCGGATAACTCGGGGATACCCACCTCAGAAGCACATGGACTGCAGAAGGGCTCCTGGAGCCCTTGGGTTAAGCTGTGGTGCCACTTCCCATCCAGGTCAAAGTCTGGTTCCAGAACCGGAGGATCAAGTGGAGGAAGCAGAGCATGGAGCAGAAGGCGGCAAAGCTGTCTCAGTTCGGGGTGATCCAGCCTGCGAGCGCCGACTCCACCGACAGCAAGGACCACGAGGACGACCCCGTGGACGTGGAGCTTTGAGCAGCCGAGGAGACCGGGCTGCTTTTGGATGCCTGGGGACGTGTCTGGGCTGCTCTGGTCCAAGTGAGACTGATCTGAGAGCTGGAGCTACAGGACTAAACTGCAGCTGGCTGGAAGGAACCTCCTGAATTTCTTTGGCTCAATTTCTTTGGCTGCTGTTTGGTAGCCAAGTGCTGTAATTCCTGGGTCTTCATCACTTGGTGGCAGGTGATCTCCTGTTTGCTCACGAAGCACCAGGGCACACAGTTTCCCAGAAAAGCTGGGGTGACAATCTGCTGGTTTCTCTGGTGTGGGGGTGACAATCAGAGGGTTACTCTGCTGCTGGGGTGACAATCACAGGGTGACTGATGCTGGGGTGACAATCAGAGAGTCTGATGCTGGACAGGCAATAGGATCTGTCTCTGATGGCTCTGAGCACAAGGGCATTTAAAGCCAGGGTCGCTCATGTTATGTGTGGCTGTGTGCCCTGCCCACTTCTTCCTCTCAACTTGACTCCCATGTTTGATGCCCAGGTCAGTCACAACCAGAATGCCCCAAAGCGGGAAGCCCTTTGCTGCCACACTCGGACTCCTGGATGCGAGGAGCAGGGTCTGACCCTGCCCTGGAGCAGAAGTGCCTCCTCCCGGCAGTGCCTTGCTCTATCTGTGCCTTTTCCATGGCTCCCCAGAGCTGGCTCCAGCCCCGGGCGGTGTGTGTCCCCTGGCACTGCTGTCCTAGCCCAGGGTGTGTGTGTGTGTGTGTGCTCTGCGGGGAGCCAGCCCAGGGCTGGAGCTGCAGGGCTGGAGCTGCAGTAAAAAGCAGCTCCAACACCTCAGCTGCTGCAGCAGACAGCCCCCTGCCCCGCGGCCAGACACAGGCAGCTGCTCTGTTCTCTCCTCATTATCCCCCAGGTGCCCTGGGACACAGCACCTGCAGCGCTCCCGGCACATCTGGAGCAGCCCAATGCGGTTAACAGCTGGATTTTTGGGGGTGGGGAGGGCTTTGGGGGGCCAGGACTAAGGACTCAGGCTGTCACCTTGCCTTCCCATGGCTGCCCATCAGCTCAGGATAATTTATTCCATCTCTTTCTGACCTAGAACACTGTATATCACTTTACTCTTACATTGTTATTTATAGAAATACCTTTTCTTTATTTCTTGCCTTAATACGTGTCACTTATTTATTTGCTTTGTCTCTTGGTAAAAATTGAGTTAATTTTAAAAAGAGAGATGGAATGAGTATAAAAACAAAACCAGATGGAAAAATTTCCAAGTACTCATTATAATTTTCAATTGAAATTAGAAAAAAAAAAAAAAAACACCAACCAAATATATTTTCATCTTTCTCAAAAGAGTCTGAGGGTTTTTTTCTTAATAAACTATTTTGGACAAAATATATACTAAATATCTTTTTTTCAATTGATTGATGACCCCATATCAAAGTGGATGAAGGGAGTTACTATCTCTGGGCTGGTTCCTGCTGAGATATAATTACATTTTCAGTAAGAGCAGTCATGCCTGGTGAGTATGGGGTGCTCAGGCTCCTGGAGAACAAGAACCTGTGTCTGCAGGTGGATGTGGCCAAACCTCTGCAGCTCCTGCTCTGCCAGCCTGAGGGGCTGGAGCATGGCCAGGGCAGGGAATGGAGCTGGGAGGGGGCCGGAGAATTCCTGAGGGAGCTGGGAAGGGGCTGGAGAATTGCTGAGGAGCTGGGAAGGGGCTCAGCCTGGAGCACAGGAGGCTCAGGGGGCCCTTGTGGCTCTGCACAGCTCCTGCCAGGAGGGGACAGCCGGGGGGTCGGGCTGTGCTCCAGGGAACAGGGACTGGAGAGGAATCCCAGGATCACTGAGGCTGGAAATCCCTCCAAGGTTATTGAGCCCAAGCTGTGCCCGATCCCCCCTTGTCCCCAGCCCAGAGCTCTGAGTGCCACCTCCAGCCCTTCCTTGGATATCTTGGGATGGGGACAACAAACCTCCCTGGGCAGCCCCTGCCAAAGCGCATTCCACCCCTTTCCATGAAGAAATCTCTGAGGAAATGGCCTCAGGTTGTGACAGGGGAGGTTTATATTGATGATGGGGAAAATTCATTCACAGGAAGGGCTGTGCAGCCCCGGCACAGCTGCAGTGGTGGAAACCCCATCCCTGGAGGGGTTTAAAAGCCGTGTGGATGTGGCACTTGGAGACATGGCCCAGTTGCGGCCTTGGCAGTGCCAGGGAACATTGGACTCGTTAGTCTTAGAGGGCTTTTCCCACATAAATATTCCATGAATCGCTGCGGATGTAATGGTGAGTGACGGCAGCATTGCCCTGCCTGTGCCTTGCCCTTGTGGTCCCTGCCACGGGCACAGTGTGATGGAGCACAGCCTGCGCTGGCTCCACCAGCCCTGGATCCCACAGCACGGCCAGGGGACGTGGCCCTGGCAGCCTGTTTGTCCCTTGTCCCCCGGCCGGTGGCCGGAGCAGTGCCCATCCCTGCGGCCATGCCGCGGGTCAGCGGCCACTCCTGAGGCCATGCTGCCTGCCCGGGCACCGAGGTGGCAGCTCCCGCCTTGTCACCCGGTGTCGTGTCCCCGCCACGAGCCGACAGTGACATCTAGTGACACCAAATCACTGCCCAAAGCCCCGAACACGGAATCGTGCTCAATTCCCAACCCTGCTCCCGCCGCCTGGCCAGCGACGAGCGGGGCTGAGCCGTCAACTGGTAAACACAACCAAACACGCATTTCCGTGGACTCCAAGGCTTTGCAGCCCACCATGCAGGAGGAAGCCGGGACAGAGTGGCCACACTAGCGTGTTTTGAAGGCTTTTTTGGGGGAAGTCGGGCCACTTCGGGTGCGCAGGGCAGCGGGCGATGCCTCCTCTTTCCAGGAGGGGAGACCTCAAGTGAGGGGGGAACTTGTGCCTGGCAGGGCTGTGACGGCTATTCCCCTATCGTTAAATAATAATAATTGACTGGGGAGAGGCAGCAAACTCCTGTACGATTTGGGGTGGCAGCGGGAGCGCACCGGCCCCGTTTTGGGGTGTTTTGGCGGTGTTTTGGGGTGTTTTGGCGGTGTTTTCAGACGCTGGCCAGGGGCTGTGGAAGGGGGGCCAAGATGGCCGCCGGCCCCCGCGCCCCGCGGCTGAGGGGGGCGATGGCGAGCGCGGACCCCTGAGGGGCGCAGGGGGCGGAGGAAGAGGAGGAGGAGGAGGAGGAGGAAGAGGAAGAGGCGCTGCCCGGCGGGTCAGGGCGGGGAAGTCGCCGCCCGAAGATGGCGGCCGCGGCGGGGCCACACGCCGGGGCTGCGGCGGAGGCGCGGTTCATCAGCAGCGCCAAGGTGAGCAGCCCGCGGTCTCCCCTCCGTGAGGGGCCCTCCCTTCCCGCCCTGCCCGGGGGGCACAGCGAGCAGGGATGGAGGGCATGGAGGGATTCCCTCAGCTCCCGGGTATGACTCGGCTTCGGGCGCGTCCCTGACCCGCGGCTGTCCCTCGGCAGGGAAAGGGCTTGTTCGCCACCAGAAACATCCGCAAAGGGGAAACAGTGTTCGTGGAGAGGCCGGTGGTGTCATCCCAGTTCCTCTGGAATGCTCTGTACAACTACCGAGGTGAGCGGCTGGTGCTGGTAGCGCGTCCCCGTCCCTGTCCCGGTGGGGTGACCGAGGGACCGCAGAGGTACCGAGGGAAGGGTTTGGCTTTGGCTTAGCACCTCTAGAAAGGTGGCCCTGCTGCTTTTTCTGCCTTTGCACCAAACTGTTGACAAGTTCAGATGCCGTCTGAGGAATGGTGACTTCCCTCAGCTCTGGAGGAATGTGCCAGGTGCCACCATAGAATCTTGGAATGGGTTGGGTTGGAAGGGGCCTTAAAGATCATATTCCATCCCTAGCATGGGCAGGGACGCCTTGCCCTAGCCCAGGTTGCTCCAAACCCCATCCCCTTGTTCCTCTCTGGTGTTGGTACCACTTGTGTTGCTTTGCCCTGGGTTCTGGTCCCTTTGCTTTCCAAAGGCTTTTCTGTGCCATCCATCCCTCCATCCCTCCACCCTTGCTGTGTCCCCCAGCCTGTGATCACTGCCTGCGGGCGCTGGAGACGGCGGAGGAGAACGCCCAGCGCCTGCTGGGGAACAGCTCGCTGGTGCTGCCTCACCCGGAGCAGTGCAGCATCCGGAAAGACCTGCACCAGCAGTGTCCCCGCTGCCAGGTACGGGACAGCCAGGAGGGACCGTGCTCTCCTTGGGATCCTTGAGTCCTTCCCATCCAGCCGGGCTCTTGTGCTGTCTGCCTTTCCATGCTGTGGGCCAAAGAGCCACTGCTGGTCAGGGAGGGGGCACAGCTGGCTCAAGGAGCCCCTGTCGTGCTGCCACAGCCAGTGCCAGCGCTGTCCCCTCGCTCTAGGTGACGTACTGCAGTGCAGAATGCAGGCAGGCAGCTCTGGAGCAGTACCACCAGGTGCTCTGCCTCGGCCCGTCCCGGGACGACCCCACGCACCCCCTCAACAAGCTGCAGGAGGCATGGAGGTAGGGCCTGACCCGCCTGTGGCTCCATGGGCAAGGGAGGTGGCTCTCCTGGGCTGGCTCCTTGCTGTGCATCCCTGCACAAGGAGGGTGGGGCTGGCCCTGGGACACTGCCCAGCTCTTTCTCCTGGTGGGCTGTTGTGATGTTGGCAGCCCAGGGGTTTGGACACACAGCTGAGCACTCCTTATTTTTCTCCCAGTAAAGAGCTACAAAGTGCTGAGCTATGCACATCCCTCACTCCTGCGGTTTTATGGTGCTCCTGCAGATCTCCAGCCTCTGGAAGATCCTCCTTGTGGCATCTCATGGACCCATTTCTGTCCCTGCTTTCAAAAAAAAAAGTGGTTCCAGAGGGGATAAGCAACATCCCTGACCCAAATCTTGTCCCAAGCGAGATCCTCCTTGTGGCATCTCATGGGTCTATTTCTGTCCCTGCTTTCAAAAAGAATGGTTCCAGAGGGGATAAGCAACATCCCTGACCCAAGTCTTGTCCCAAGCCCCAGCAGAGTGAGCAGGGTGGAGGGGGATTGTTTGTATGGGTGGAGCAGGAAGGTGGGTGCAGGTTTCTCCCCACACAGCAATGCTGCACTGACTCCTTTGGTGTGCTGGATCAGTGCAGGCCTGTCCACACCTATGGCAGCTCTTCTGCCTCCCTCCAGCTTTTCATTCCATGCCAGTCCTGATCTGCTCATCTCTTCTCCATTTTAATCCCACAGAAACATGCATTATCCCCCAGAGACCTCCAGCATCATGCTGATGGCCAGGATGGTGGCCACCATCAAACAGGTATACTGGGTGGTTTTGTTATCCCATTGTGGATGTTATTCCCAAGGCTCTGTTCCTTGGCCTGGCTTTCTCAGCATTTCTTCTGACAATCCTCCCTCTGTCTGTGCTGGGGAGGAGAGAGGTGTTGGTGCAATGCCTCTGCTTTATTCTTTTGTCAGGCTAAAGACAAGGAGTGGTGGATCAAGGCCTTCTCCCAGTTCTGCAACAAGACAGCAAATGAAGAAGAGGAGATTGTGCACAAGCTGCTGGGGGACAAATTTAAGGTAAGACCTAGCAGCTCTTCAGTCCTTGAGCCTTCCTTCTCCTTCCTGTGTCTGAGCCCAGAGATGCAAAAGCCTCATTACAGCAGGGCTGGAAAACACTGGAAACTCCAGGCTAAAAGGGAGGGCCCTGACAGTGAGGAAGTGGTTGCTTAGGGGATTTTGGCCTTGTGATGCTTTCATGGGATTATGCTGCTCCTTCCCGTGGGGGAGATGTTCCTGCTGTGGGCTGGGACAGCGTGATATTTAGCTGCTGAGTGGGTGGCTTTTGCTGCTAAAATGGGTGGATTGCACAGCTGTGAGGACAGCAGCCTCCAGCCATGCAGGGCAGGCCAGGCAGCCCAAGTGCTTCAGGAGCCTCTGGCCTGGGCTGGGCTGGGCTCAGCCCGGGGCTGGCACCCACAGCACCCCCACCCTGACCGTGCTCTGTGTCCTGCCAGGGCCAGCTGGAGCTGCTGCGCTTGCTCTTCACCGAAGCCCTGTACGACGAATATCTCAGCAGGGTGAGTGGATCTGCCTCCCAGATAGCCCAGGAGCATTGGCCAGGGCTTTCCCTGGCACTCTGCTGGTTCCTTGCTTCCCCCAAAGCTCCCTGTGGCATTTGAAGCATTGCAGTGAGGTGATCCTGCAGGCTGCCTGGCCTCAGGTCCTTTGTCTGTCCCTCCTGCAGTGGTTCACTCCAGAAGGCTTTCGATCCCTCTTTGCCCTCGTCGGGACCAATGGCCAAGGCATAGGAACCAGGTAAGGGGGCTTTGTGGGTGCTCCTTGCAGGCAGTGGAGATGTGGAATGTGAATGGCTGGGTGAGGCAGACTTAAACAAACCTTCATCTTGGCTGTGTCCAACCCTTTCACATCCCTCTGCCAGACCTTGGCTGCTCAGAGTCGCCTTGGATCTCTTCTGTGAGGTCTCACTGTGTGCTGACAGCACTGTGGGACTGTAAAAATGGCCTGTTTCTGACAGTATTGTGGCACTGTGACAGTGTTCCACTGCTCCCCAGCTCTGTGGCACTGTGACAGTGTCCCACTGCTCCCCAGCTCTGTGGCACTGTGACAGTGTCCCACTGCTCCCCAGCTCTGTGGCACTGTGACAGTGTCCCACTGCTCCCCAGCTCTGTGGCACTGTGACAGTGTCCCACTGCTCCCCAGCTCTGTGGCACTGTGACAGTGTCCCACTGCTCCCCAGCTCTGTGGCACTGTGACAGTGTCCCACTGCTCCCCAGCTCTGTGGCACTGTGACACGTGTGACCTGTCCCTGTTTCCCCAGCTCCCTGAGCCAGTGGGTACACGCGTGCGATGCGCTGGACCTGCCCATGCTGCAGCGGGAGGAGCTGGACGCCTTCATCGACCAGCTCTACAAGGACATTGAGAAGGGTGAGGCTCTGGGAGTGCAGGGACAGGGCAGGCAGCCTCGGGATGTGAATGTTTGTCCTCCATCCCCTGCCAGTGGGAGGGAAAGTCTCTTGGGAAATCACCCTGCAGCAGCCAGGCCGTGCTGGCTGTGGGTGTTCCGTGTTGATGGATGTTCCTTCGTGCTTGTGTGTGGAAGAGCTGGAATGGACCATGCCAAGCTCTAACGCCTCTCTCTGTGCTGCAGAGTCAGGAGAGTTCCTCAACTGCGAGGGATCTGGGCTCTACGTGCTGCAGAGCTGCTGTAAGTAACACAAGGAGTGGGAGGAAGACCACTAGTGAGGAGGGAAATGTCCTGTGCTAGGCTGGCTCACCTCTTCCTCTGGAGAAAGGGGTTTGTACTTGCCATCTGTGGGGTGGGGTGGATGGGATGGGTACTGCTCTCAGTGTTCCCTGGCACTTTGCCCAGCTGTGGAATGGCCAGTGCTGCCTAGGATGCACTCAGATGCACTCAGATATGATGTGGTTCCAGGAGGCACTCAGGCATTTAGCAGAGATTGTATTCCCCGTAGGTAACCACAGTTGCATCCCCAATGCTGAGACATCCTTCCCAGAAAACAACTTCCTCCTGCATCTCACTGCTCTGGAGGACATCGAAGCAGGAGAGGTGAGACAGCAGGGCCTGGGTCCACCTGAGGCATCACCTTGGCATCATCCCTGTGTCCCCTACATCCTCCATGGGCCCCACCCCAAAACCTCCTGTGTCCTGCATCATCTTGGCAGAGGAACTCAGTCCCTATCCCGTGTAGGGGCTGCCAGACCCCCTGTTTCTGCCTGATTCTGAGAGGGACTGGGGCAAATCCTGCTGCTTTGGGGTCATGGGGAGCCATTCTGAGCCCAGCCCATTTCTGTTTGCTGCCAGGAAATCTGCATCAGTTACTTAGATTGCTGTCAGAGGGAGCGGAGCAGACACAGCCGCAACAAGATACTCAGGTAGGGGCTGCCTGCAGCTACCTGGGGGGGACCTCACACCCCTTGACACCCCAAACAGTCCTTCAGGGCAGCACCCCCACCCCGGGGCTGTGTGTGCCTTGGGGTGTGGCTGTGCACAGGCTGCTGTGAACTTCAGTGGGCTCTTGGCAGGGGGTGTGTGCAGCCCGTGGCGTTTCTGGTGCTTCAAGCTCCTTGTAATGTGTTGTAGGATTTGGGTTCCCCTCTCTCTCTGCAGGTTTACACCTGCAGACCCTTCCTTTTCCTTCTCTGTCCTTCAAGGGCAGAAGTTGCTGCTGGGGGTCACTGTCCCCTGTCCCATCACCCCTGTGGGGCTGAGAAATCCCCCTCTGCACCCGGGGTACCTTTACCCTGCCTGAGCCAGCAGGATGGACCCCCCAAACTCCTGGGTCTGACACGTTTAGCCCCTTCCTGGCTGTTCTCTTCCCGACCCCTGCCCAGCAGCAGTGTGGGAGTGTACCTGTCTCCACACCATCCCTCTGTCTCCTGCCTGCCCACCTGCCAGGGAGAACTACTTGTTCACCTGCTCGTGTCCCAAGTGCCTCGCGCAAGCCGACGACGCCGACGTGACGTCGGACGAAGAGGAGGAGGGCGAAGGAGAGACGGACGATGCAGAGCTGGAGGATGAGATGACTGATGTGTGATCCTGGTCCCGGGCGAGAGGAGAGGGAAGGGATGGGACGGGAAGGGAAGAGCCTGGAGGCTCCTCCAAGAGGCAGCAGCTTTGATTTAGAACAGGGTTGTGTCGTGGGGTCGGGTGGGCACCGCGTGCCGAGGCGCCGGAGCGGGGCAGCCGGGAGCCGGAGGCAGGCCCTGCTCCCACCTGTCCGTGTTGTCCCTGTGCGTGTGTGTGTGTGTGTCAGGCTGTCCCTGTCCTCCCTGCGAGGACAAGCTGTGAGCCGGGGGCCCTCCAGCACATCCCTGTTCCCGGTGGGGCTGGCTGGTGCTTGCAGGGGAGGCTGGAGGAGAGTGGGATCCAGCCAGCCCCTGGGACACCACGCTGTCACCTGTGAGGTCGCTCCGCTGTGTCTGTGCAGGCTGTGGATGTGGGGGAGCTTGTCCTTCCCACCCTGCAGGGACGAGGGCAATGTGTGTGTGTGTGTCCGTGTGTCTGTGCACGAGGGTACTATTTAATGTCTGTATTAGCACTATCTACACCCTATGGAGCTGGGGCCCTTATATATCCTCATTCCATGCCTTGGCCGGCAGTGAGGGGCAGCAGGATCTTGCAGGGGATGCCCTGGAGAGTGGCCCAGAGCTCGAGTCCAGCAGGGAGAGCAGAGCAGACCCTGCAGAGACCTCCTTCCCAGCTCAGCCCACCCTTCCTGTGACACAGAGCCCCGGGCAGAGACTGCAGGAGCGTGTGGGGATGGAGAATGGCCAGGAGCTGGCATGGGCTGTGGTGTCATCCCAAACCCAGAAGACACTTAGGGTTCTGTAGGGAGGGAGTTGTCCCTCCCTTCAGCTGGCCGTGGGACAAGGATGTGCTCGGGGATGCAGCAAGTATGCTCCCACATGGAGATGTACCAGCACAGAGTGGCCCCACTGGACGTCCCCTTGTCGTCCATCCCATGTGCCACCCTCAAGGCCACACCATGCAGCAGTGTCCCTGTGTGCATACCATGTGGCTGGAGAGCCCACGGCTCCAAGTGAGACAGGCAGCAGGTCAGGGATGCACCCAGGGTCATCTCCTTCCTTCACGGATTTTGGGGAGTTGTGTTCCTGCCGCCGTGGCAGCTGGATTGTGGGACCGAGGGTGGCACACCTGTGGCACTGCCATCACCGCCAGCCCTGCCTCCCACTGCTTGTCCCCAGCCGTCCACATCCCCTTCAGTGTTCCTAATAAATCAAGACTGGTGACAGCTGGGGACCTGTGCTTTGTGTTGCTGGGTGCTGAGTGTGCTGTGACCCAGGGGCTGCTCCTGTGGGGACACAGGGCTGAGGGAACAGACACCTGTGCAAGTGTGGGCTCTGCATCTGCTGGATCCCACCCCTGCTGGAGCCTATGTCCCATGCGGCTCTGACTGAGCCCTGCCCCAGCTGCAGGAGGTATTTGGAGAATTTTACTGGGAAAAGCTGACTGCTGGAAATAAAAGAGAAACTTCCTTTCTCTAAAACTTACTCAGACTTCATTAGCTCAGACAAAAACGTACAGACATCAGGTGAGCCGTGCTGGTACAGACCAAGCCTGTATCGCTCTGCCCCCATCCCTGCCAGTCCTGCATCCCTCCAAATCAGCAGCACAATGTCAAATGTTTCCAGGGAAGTGCTGGCCTGCTCTGGGCCCTCACCTCCCTCCCACACAGTCACAGCTCGGTGCCTGGCTCAAGGTTCCCCCTGGCACTGGTGTTTGCCCTTGGCCACGCACCGGTGCCAGCAGAAAGATCTCCCTGTGGCCGAATCCAGCGGGATCTCTGGAGCATGTTGGGATCCTTTCCTCAAACCTGGTCCTTAGGGCAAGATCCTGGGGTGCACCAGGAAGTCCTCGATCCACCACAGCCTTTAGCTGCTACCAGAAGGTCCAGGGGGGCTGCATCATCTCGTAGGTGGGAATGCTGGTGACGTTGACAGGAATGGAGATGACGGCCCAGGGGAGCCCGTGCTGCTCCAGGGAGCGCCTGATCATGTACCTGGGGGGATGGAGGGGTGACAGCTGTTCCCGAGCTGCCAGGGCTGGGAGAGTGCAGCCAGACCCCAGCACAAACCACAAGCCAGCTCCAGCTGCCTGCTCACCAGGGCTGAATCCATGCCAAATGTGGCTCCCAAAGCCCGGCAGGGCCACCTGGGACCTCCCTGCCGTGAGGGACGAGGCTGTCCCTCGGCCATTCCCGTGAGCTGTCCCAGCCTGGGAAGGCAGCCCGGGCACGTACCCGTCCCTGCCCAGCAGGAAGAGCGCGGGGATGTCGGCCGTGCGCCGGGAGCTGTCCTGGATCATCTCGATGTAGAAGCTGTCGTTGTCATAGGCGTTGTCAGCGATGATGACGGCCCGCCCGCCGTGCTCCTGGATCACTCGTGTCTTGGACAGGAACGAGCAGCCCCTGTGGCACAGAGGGACCACACTGTCACCAGCTGCCGTGGCCACAGGTAGCTCCAGAGCCTGCAGCTGCCACAGCTGGCCTGGAGACAGCCAAACTAGGGATTGCCTCCCTGATTCCACACCTCCTCCAAACCCTGCTCCTCTGAGCCTGATTTTAGGTACAAGCCACCCACACTCCTAAGAGAAATGAAATGAAATTTGGAATGGTTTGGGTTGGAAGAGACCTTAAAGCTCATTCAGTGCCACCCCTGCCATGGCAGGGACACTTTCCACTGTCCCAGGGTGCTCCAAGCCCCAGTGTCCAGCCTGGCCTTGGACACCTCCAGGGATATGAGGCATCCAGAATTTCTTTGGGCAACCTGTGCCAGGGCCTCACCGCTCACGGAGAAGAGTTTCTTTGCCACTGTCTAATCTAAACCTACTCTCTCAGTCTGAACCCAGACAGCATTTTTTCTACCTTACCCCAGGCTGAAAAATACAAGATGCAATTCTCCAGGCTAGGAACACCCTCACATTTTCCTGGTTTATCTATGTGGGGAAAGGCACAGGATGAATCTGGAGGCGATGGGGAGATGTGGCCTGCTCTCCCCTCCTGCCCAGCAGGGTCCCCCAGCAGCTGCCATGATGCCAGACGTACCCCCTCTCCACCAAGGCGATCTGGTCCTGGATGAAGACCCCATTGTTCAGCTCTCCACAGGCCTCCGGGGGATCCGCCGGCACCAGGTGGATCTGGTCGTACCTCGTGTTCTCCGAGGAGACAGGCAGGGTGAGCCGGGGCTGGAGCTGCTCCCCCGCCCCAGCCCTGCCCATCCCTCGGGGGAGATTTTGGGCTCCCAGGTTCAGGGACGCTCAGACCCAGCCCTGGGGCCAGTCCCCACCTCCGGAATCCTGCTGAGGCCAAGGACGCTTGTGGAAGAGCAATGAGCTCCATTTTAACGAAAACCCCAAAGCACCGAGTCCCACCAAAAAGCAATATTGCCGCGTCCCGACCCAAAGTGGCAAATTCAGTGTTTAATACTTACAAACACGCCACCGAAATCCTTGGCTGGGGTGGCAGTGAAGATGTAGCGGATGTCTCCGGGGCTCAGCACTTGGAAGTACAAATACTCATGGATGCGTAATCCTGGGGGCGAAAGGACAGAGCTGAGGCAAGGGAAACTAAGGGCAAAGTCCCTGAAAAAAGGGGAGAAGTCCCAGTCATCACTCCTGAACCACAGAGAACAGGCCCTCCAGCAGTGTCAAATCCTGACTGGGCTCAGGACTCAAAATGCCCCAAAGGTTTTGGGGTGTTCCAAGGGCAGATGTGGCAGTTCCCAGGGGCTGAGAGGGGATGGGGGCGAGAAAAGGACTGGGGTGCTAAAGGGAAAATGCAGCTGGACCATGGAGGGGAGAGGGGTGCTAGGCACCCAGACTGAGGGGAACACAGGGGAAACCCACCAGGATCACAAATGGGAGCGAAGATGCACTTGGATTAGGATGCAGCAGGAAATGCACTGGAGCTGGGGCGCAGTGATGGGAAATGTACCTGGGTCAGAGGGGAAATCCAAGGGGCTCAGAGCCCCCGAGAGGAAATGCTGCTGGACTGGGGCGCTGGGTGGGCAAATGCAACTAGATCGAGCTGCACCGAGGGAATTGCACCAGGATGGGGATGCAGGAGGGGAAATGCACCCGGATCGGGATGTAGGAGGAGAAACGCGATTGGGGGGGGCACACCGAGGGGAAATGTTCCCGAAATCTGATACGGGTACAGGAGAGGAACCGCAGGGGGCCGGGAGGGGAAACACACCGGGAGAGAGACAGGAGGGGAAATACCCCGGGATACACACACCAGGAGGGGAAATACACCGGGATAGACACACAGGAGGGGAAATACACCGGGATACAGACACAGGAGGGGAAATACACTGGGATACAGACACAGGAGGGGAAATACACCGGGATACACACACAGGAGGGGAAATACACCGGGATACAGACACAGGAGGGGAAATACACCGGGATACACACACAGGAGGGGAAATATACCGGGATACAGACACAGCAGGGGGAATACACCGGGATACAGACACAGGAGGGGAAATACACCGGGATACAGGCACAGGAGGGGAAATACACCGGGATACTGACACAGGAGGGGAAATACACCGGGATACAGACACAGGAGGGGAAATACACCGGGATACAGAGACAGGAGGGGAAATACAGCGGCATACAGACACAGGAGGGGAAATACACCGGGATACAGACACAGGAGGGGAAATACACCGGGATACAGGCACAGGAGGGGAAATACCCCGGGATACAGAGACAGCGGGGAAATACACTGGGATACAGACACAGGAGGGGAAATACACCGGGATACAGACAGAGCAGGGGAAATACACCGGGATACAGAGACAGCAGGGAAATACACCGGGATACAGACACAGGAGGGAAATACACCGGGATCACGGTGCGCCGAGCGGGGAGGCCGCCGGCCCGGAATGCCTGGGGTGTATGCCTGGGGTGTGTGCGCGGTCCGGGTGCCGGGCCCGGTGCTGGCGGCGCGGCCCGGCCGCTGTCCCCGCTCCGTGCCCCCTCCGTCCCTCACTCACCGCGGGCCGGCCAGCAGCAGACGCAGAGCCAGAGCCAGAGCCAGAGCAGCATGGCTGCGCCGCGCCCCGCCCACCGGCCCGTCCCGCGCTCGCCATTGGCGGATGATCTTACCGCTCTCCTGCCTATTGGTCTGTGCCGCCATCAATCACGCGCGAGCCGGCGCGGGCGGCTCGCTGTCACCGCGGCGCTCGCTGCCAAATAGTGCTCCATTCCATTTCCGCACTCTGCGATCCCTCTTCCCTCCCTGCCAAATTGTGCTCCCGCCCCCGGCCCGCCCCCGGGAAGGTTCTGGGCGTGCGCGGTGCATTGTGGGGGCCGGGAGCGAGCAGCCGCCGCGATGATGGTGAGTGAGTGCCCCGCGCCATCCGCCGCCATCCCCGCGTCCCGCCGCGCTGCCCGGGCCGCAGGGCCCCCGCTGGCCCCCAGGGAGCGGCCGTGGCCGGTGGCGGCGGGCCGGGCCGGCCGCGCTGGCTGCCGGGGATGGCAGCGGGCAGCCCCGAGCTCCATCCCGCTCCGCAGCCTCCGCCCGGCCCGGCCCCGCTGCCCTCCGGCTCTGGGCCCCGCGGTGATGCCGGAGGTGTGTCCAGCCTGGTTTCCCCGGGGACAAGCGGCTCCTTTTCCCTCGCGGGCCCTGCGCTGCTGGGTGCGGACGGAAGCCGCGCGTTCCCTCCCACAGAATCTTCCCGGGTTTCGGGGATCACAGAATAGTCAGGGCGGGAGATCACTCCGTTCGGCCCCCTGCCCAGGCGGGGTCGCTGGGGCAGGTGACACAGGGACGTGGCCAGGTGGGTTTGGGGTGACTCCGGGGACACTCCAGGCCCTCCCTGTGCAGCTGTCCCAGGGCTCTTGTCACCCTCCACGGCAAGAAGTTCTTCCTCGTGTTGAGGTGAAGCTTCCTGTGTTTTATGTCCTGTTGCCGGGCATCACCAGAAGTCTGGCACCAGCCTCTTGGCACTGCCTCGGAGGGATTTGAATGGATGGATGGGATCCCTCTCAGCATTCCCTTCTGCAGCCTAAGCAGGCCCAGCTCCTCATGGGAGAGATGCTCTGAGCCCAAGGGTGTTCTTTGTGCCCATCACTGAACCCTCTGCAGCAGCTCCTTCTCTTGTGCCTGCGACCCCTCGGTGCACCAAGCACAGCTTAGTTCTGCTCTGTGCCTGCTGGCAGCTGTTCTGAGCCAGTGCATCCCAAATTTGGGCGGTGTTTGGGCTTTGCCTGAGGGATGGTTTGGGTTGGAGAGACCTTAAATCCCACCCAGTGCCCCCCCTGCCATGGCAGGGACACCTCCCACTGTCCCAGGCTGCTCCAGCCCCAGTGTCCAGCCTGGCCTGGGGCACTGCCGGGGATGCAGGGGCAGCCACAGCTGCTCTGGTGCTCCCACCACCCAGATTGGTTTGCTTCCTCACTGTCTCTGTAATTCCTGCATGCTCTGTCTCCTCCGGGCCAGCCTCAGATCCGAACCTCAGCGGTTCTGCCCCAAAGAACCCCCGTTATTTCTGGGACGGTTCTGTGCGTCCCCGGGCCCGTGGTGGGGCAGTTGTGAATTCCCAGTGCTGTGGGAGCAGCGGAAAGCAGCTGGGTGGTGCGGGGCAGAGGAATTACAGCGAGGCTGTGTTTTTTTTTGGCCTCGCTCCCTCGCGCTCCTGCCTTGTGGGCCGCCGCGGGTCGTGGGGGGTCGGGATAACAGCCGTGCCGCGCTCCCGCCCGCAGCCAACGCCGGTTATCCTGCTGAAGGAGGGCACGGACACCTCGCAGGGCGTCCCGCAGCTGGTCAGCAACATCAACGCGTGCCAGGTGATCGCCGAGGCCGTGCGCACCACGCTGGGCCCGCGCGGCATGGACAAGCTCATCGTGGACGATCGCGGTACGGCCCGTTGGCTGCGCGTCGGCTGAACCCGCCTCAGCCCCCGCCGGGCTCTGAGTTCTGCAGCTCTGTCTCCAGAATGCCCGCCCGGTGTCCCCTGCGGGAGGCAGGACGGTTGGCAGTCCAGCCTGAGGATTCGATCGCGCCCCAGGGGCGCCTGCGGGATGCGGAGTCGGGGGGGTGTGATGCCTTGAGAAGGCTGACCTGGAATAGAGGCTAGATGGACTTAAAGAGTAAAGCAGGGGTTTGTTAAAGTGATCTCCTCAATGGATGCACCACGGGCAGCACAAGAGCCCAGCCAGGGCTGCACCCAAGGTGAACCAAAATGGTCCCTAAGTGAACCCAAGATGAACCAAAATGGTCCCAAGGTGAACCAAAATGGTCCCAAGGTGAACCAAAATGGTCCCAAGGTGAACCAAAATGGTCCCAAGGTGAACCAAAATGGTCCCAAGGTGAACCAAAATGGTCCCAAGGTGAACCAAAATGGTCCCAAGGTGAACCAAAATGGTCCCAAGGTGAACCAAAATGGTCCCAAGGTGAACCAAAATGGTCCCAAGGTGAACCAAAATGGTCCCAAGGTGAACCAAAATGGTCCCAAGGTGAACCAAAATGGTCCCAAGGTGAACCAAAATGGTCCCAAGGTGAACCAAAATGGTCCCAAGGTGAACCAAAATGGTCCCAAGGTGAACCAAAATGGTCCCAAGGTGAACCAAAATGGTCCCAAGGTGAACCAAAATGGTCCCAAGGTGAACCAAAATGGTCCCAAGGTGAACCAAAATGGTCCCAAGGTGAACCAAAATGGTCCCAAGGTGAACCAAAATGGTCCCAAGGTGAACCAAAATGGTCCCAAGGTGAACCAAAATGGTCCCAAGGTGAACCAAAATGGTCCCAAGGTGAACCAAAATGGTCCCAAGGTGAACCAAAATGGTCCCAAGGTGAACCAAAATGGTCCCAAGGTGAACCAAAATGGTCCCAAGGTGAACCAAAATGGTCCCAAGGTGAACCAAAATGGTCCCAAGGTGAACCAAAATGGTCCCAAGGTGAACCAAAATGGTCCCAAGGTGAACCAAAATGGTCCCAAGGTGAACCAAAATGGTCCCAAGGTGAACCAAAATGGTCCCAAGGTGAACCAAAATGGTCCCAAGGTGAACCAAAATGGTCCCAAGGTGAACCAAAATGGTCCCAAGGTGAACCAAAATGGTCCCAAGATGAACCAAAATGGTCCCAAAATGCACAATGGTCACGGGGTCTCTCACTGTGATCATCTCTGCTCTATTTGCAGATTGCAGTGCATTGTCCAATTCCAGCTTTAGGTTACAAAGTCTTATCCTGCTTTTTGTTTTCTCTCTTCATTCTGCTGTTGTTTGTGCTCCTGGGCTGAGATTTGGATCATTTGTCCTTGGTCCCAGCTGGAGCAGGAATTGTTTTGTCTCCCTGCTCTGTGCACAGAGCTCACCATGCCCTGGTAGGAGCCCCGACCCACACACTGAAGTAGCACAAAATCTGAAAAATACAAAACTAAAACCTGAGGCATCAGTTGGATGTATCCAGTGTAAGTCTGTGCCAGACAGGAGAAGCAGAGAGGCTTGAACCTGTCTTCAGGTATTTTTGGTCATCTCTGTTTTTAAATGAGGCTCATGATACCTCTGGAGTTACTCAGCAGTTGTGGCTGAGTGTTAAGGTGTGGGTCAGTGGATGTTCCTGGGTTCATTTTTAATTTTTTTTTTTTTTTTTGAGTGATTTAAGAGATTAGAGGTCAGTGGATGTTCCTGGGTTAATTTTTAATCTTTTTTTTTTTTTTTTGAGTGATTTAAGAGATTAGCTTTGCCATCATTCTGAAAAGACTTGCATGAAGTCACCAAACTAATTATTTATTATTTTTGTTACTGAAGGGTGGAGTGAAAAGACTTAGTATTGTCTTTAAATAGTTTTTATAGATAGGAACTGTAATAAATCCTTGTTCAAAAGGATAATTGGATTTAACTTTCTTCTATGATAACTAACATGATTTCTAGGCTTTTTGTTCATGAGAGTCTCCTGAATATGGTTTTATCTGTCTGGGGAGGCCTTTGAGAGGAGGGAAATGAATTCCAAACCTTTGTTGGTGTGGAAAGTTGTTCTCTCAGGCTGACTTGACTGAACCTGCTCCACAGATGGGCTGACAGGACTCAGTTCTGGTGCAGCAGAGGAACCTGCTGAGATCTCCTGAGAGCCCCCAGAGACAGGGCTTTGCCCCTGCTAGTGTAAAGCTGCCTTTAACTTCCTTTTCCTCCAACAACCCCAGGCAAAGCCACCATCTCCAACGACGGGGCCACCATCCTGAAGCTGCTGGACGTTGTCCACCCGGCCGCGAAGACCTTGGTGGACATCGCCAAGTCCCAGGACGCCGAGGTGGGAGGGGAGCCTGGCTGTGCCTGGGGTGCAGCACGGGGCAGCCTGAGTGGCAGTGCTGCCCTGGGCTCAGGGTTAGCTGGTGGGAATTGCTCTTCAACTGCTGGGGTTTATTCTGCCTGCTCTGGAGCCAGGCTGGAGAGCTGGGAGTGTTCCCTGGAGAAGGGAAGGCTCCAGGCAGAGCTCAGAGCCCCTGGCAGGGCCTGGAGGGGCTCCAGGAGAGCTGCAGAGGGACTGGGGACAAGGCCTGCAGGGACAGCACACAGGGAATGGCTCCCAGTGGCAAAGGGCAGATTGGGCTGGGATCTTGGCAAGGAATTCCTGGCTGGGAGGGTGGGCAGGGGCTGGGCTGGAATTCCCAGAGCAGCTGTGGCTGCCCCTGCATCCCTGGCAGTGCCCAGGCCAGGTTGGACATTGGGGCTTGGAGCAGCCTGGAATGGCAGAAGGTGTCCCTGCCATGGCAGAGAGTGGCACTGGGGGGGCTTTGAGGTTCCTTCCCACCCAGACCACTCTGAATCACTGAGGAATTCAGCCACAAATCTGTGAGTGGAGAAAATCCTGAGCTCTGCTTTCCCTGGAAGCTCTGGAGTGCTTTTGCAGCTGCTCCCAGGAGGTGTCTGCAGCGTGGGGGTGGCACAGCGTGGGGGTGACAGTGTCCCCTGTCCCTGCAGGTGGGTGATGGCACCACGTCCGTGACCCTGCTGGCAGCTGAGTTCCTGAAGCAGGTGAAGCCCTACGTGGAGGAGGGGCTCCATCCCCAGATCATCATCCGCGCCTTCCGCACGGCCACGCAGCTGGTGAGGCACGGCAGGGACAGGACACCCTGCCAGGGAAAGCCCTGGGAATGGGCTGGGAGTGCCAGCAGCCATCTCTTGCTGCCTCCCTGCCAGCAGCACTGCCTCTCCTGTGCCAGGCCTGCTCTTAGCAGTCCGTGCCTCTGGAGTGCTGTCACCTCCTTTGGGTTTTTTCCCAGGAAAAAATGTAAAATCTCATTTCTCATTCTCCTGCTCCTCCTGTTTTCTGCTTCTTAGTAACCTGTGTGTCTCCTAGAGCCTGTTGGTCCCATTAAGCTGATTTTTGGAGGTTCACTCCTCAGTAGCCCTTTGATTTCCAGGGTCTCTGCTGAAAACAGAAGCAGCAGAGCAGCTCTGAGCCTCCCCCCACTCCTCATGGTTGGTGTATTCCTTAGAATTACTGCGCTGGCAGGGGTGGAATAACTTAAACACTTGGAACTTCAGTGACGTTGGTGCAGAGAACAAAAGATAAAATACAAAGAGAGAGGTTGGAGGTCTCACCAGCTCGGGAGCATAAATCATTAATGCAGCTGTTGCCTTTTTGCCAGGCTGTGAACAAGATCAAAGACATCGCTGTCTCCGTGAAGAAGGAGGATAAAGAGTAAGTTCCCCTTGGAGGTGACCTGGTTGTGTTCTGGGCTCCAGCTGACTCCTGTGAGGGTGCTCCTGGCTTCTGTGGCTCTGGCTGACATCTCCAGGTGTGGCCTGCAGCTGCAGCCCCACACGGGGGTTATTCCCAGTTTCCCTGGAATTTCCTGCTCCCCCAGTGCAGTGCTGTGCTCCCACGTGGCTGCAGGGATGATGTAGGGCAGTGTCTCCCAGTGCTCATGGAGGAAGCTGGGCACCAAAATAAGTGGCCTGATTTCATTTTTGCAGCGGTGGAGACTTGGAGCTCTTGCTGCAGTCAGTGGCAGTGTTAAATTTCAGCAGTTCCCTGAGGATCAGGTCCCCTTTTAGCTGTCACACACCAAGGTAGATAGCTCATAGCAGTGATCCCTTCAGCTCAGGTGAGAATGCTGGAGTTCCTTTTCTCCCTGCATTTTAAGCTCTTGTCCACTTGACCTTGCTGATACCTGCAGTTAATTAGAAGTATTTCAACTTCATAAGCATCTTGAATAAACCAAAATGGGTTGTCCAAACCAAATTCTAAAAAAATGCTGGGAAAAAACCCAAATGTGGTCTTGTGATGAGAAATAGAGTGGTTCCCGTGGGGGACAGAGCCTGGCAGCTGGATCCACATCTCCCTGTCACCCACTGCTGCACATGTACTGCCTGAGTTAGTAGTTCAGGGAATGTGCTGCCCTTAGAGGGTTCCAGAAACATCTTCCTGCCTCGGGATGAAGGAGAGCACCTGCTCTTTCCTGATTTTAGGTGCATGAAAGCTGATCAGCCTCATGCTGGGCTGATGCTTGAGCTCTAAAAAGGAGAATGGAATTTCTCAGTCTGGGATTTGTGCCTTGTTCTTCCCATGGACAGGAGGGAGCTGATCTTTGCTTCCGTCAGAGAGGATTTTGGGCCCTTCATGCAAGACCCTGAGGGGCTGGAGCGTGGCCAGCAATGATCCTAAAGGTGTTTTCCAGGTTAGACCTGTGATTAGCAAAGCCACATACAGTGCTTGGGGCTCGTGAAAAGGTCTGGCAGGTGACCAAACCTTTGTTTTTCCTTTCCCTTTCTGCAGTGAGCAGAGGAGTCTCCTGGAAAAGTGTGCAGCCACAGCCCTGAGCTCCAAGCTCATCTCCCAGAGCAAGGAGTTTTTCTCCAAGATGGTGGTAGATGCTGTGATGATGTTGGATGACTTGTTGCAGCTCAAGATGATCGGGATAAAGAAGGTGCAAGGAGGAGCTTTGGAAGTAAGTGCTGGAGCCTTCCTGAAGGGGTGGGAGACAGGGATCCCAGCTCTGATGGTGGCTTGGCTCTAGCAGAAGTGCAGCCTGGCTTGACAGTGCCCGTTGGGGAATTCCCAAAGTGGAGCAAAGCTGTTGGTGTGAGGAGGAAGCTTAGCAGTGTTTCTTTTCCATAGGCAGAGTTTCTGGGTTTTGAGCTAAATACACTCTTCACCTCAGTGCAGCAAAGTTCTTACTGATGAAAATCCATTTTTTTTTTTGTTGGTAGTCTTTGTTTCTTCTGGAAAAATTCCATTTCTCTCTCCACAAATATTTTTTTTTTCTTTGTTGGTAGTCTTTGTTTCTTCTGGATCCAGAAGTCCTGGTTGCATGTAGGATTACTGGGTTGGGAGAAATGCAAGGCAAACCTCATGGAGCTGATGTAGTGGTGGGCATGGCAGGTGGGATGTGTGGTTTATGCTTCAGTGCTGGAGAGCCTGTTGTGTCTGGGACTGCACCTGGATATGTGGTAGGGAATTGATCCTGGCTCTGGGACAGCTCCTGTGGAGAGGGAGATTCAGATCCTGGTTTCTTGACCCAGGAAACTGAGGAGCTCATGCCAGGGAATGGTGTTGGACAGGGCTGTCCTGCTGCAGAAAATCCAGGAGGTGGTGATGGAACTTGGAAAGACAAACCAGAGCAAAAGCCAGCCCCCAGTGGGGCTGTGGATGAGAAATATCCAAAAGTTCAAAGGGGAGGAACGGGAGAAAGATCAGGGAGGGAAGTGGTTGCTCCATTCCTTGGTCTTCAGGTTGTGTGAGGAGTTCTTGGCTGTGGAGTTTTGAGGGATAGAGAGGAAGCTGCTTTTGTGAGCTGAAAGAAATCCTTGCTGCTGATTTCCTCTGAAAGTGGGTTAATCAAAGGAGACAGTGCTGGGAAGGCTTTGTAAATGAGGCCTCTGGGAGCAGGGAGTGTCCTGGGGGAGTTGTTACTAACCCTGTGCAGAAAGCCCTGGGGGCTGAGCCTGAGGCAAATCCCTGTGTTCCAGGACTCACAGCTGGTGGCTGGAGTTGCCTTTAAGAAAACCTTCTCCTACGCTGGGTTTGAGATGCAGCCCAAGAAGTACCAGTCCCCCAAAATCGCCCTGCTCAACGTGGAGCTGGAGCTCAAAGCTGAGAAGGACAACGCCGAGGTCAGAGTCAACACGGTGGAGGTAAGAGCCCCAGGGAGCCTGCCCTGCTTCCTCATCCCTGTGACACCTGGGGCTGCTCATCCCCTGGGGAAGGAGGAGATGGGAGGGCCACAGAGATGCTGAGAGGGCTGGAGCCAGGCTGGAGAGCTGGGAATGTTCCCTGGAGAAGGGAAGGCTCCAGGCAGAGCTCAGAGCCCCTGGCAGGGCCTGGAGGGGCTCCAGGAGAGCTGCAGAGGGACTGGGGACAAGGCCTGCAGGGACAGCACACAGGGAATGGCTCCCACTGGCAAAGGGGAGATTGGGCTGGGATCTTGGCAAGGAATTCCTGGCTGGGAGGGTGGGCAGGGGCTGGCACAGGCTGTGGCTGCCCCATCACTGGGAGTGTCCAAGTTGAGGTTGGATGGGGCTTGGAGCAGCCTGGAATAGTGGAAGGTGTCCATGCCATGGCAGAGGGTGGCACTGGATGACCTTTAAAGGGTCCCTTCCCACCCAAACCATTCCATGACAAATGAGTTTGCCTTCTGCCCATCCTTCACCTTTGCTAACACCTGGTGGGCTGCGCTGCCCCGTGGGAGTGGGGGTCCAGCAGCCTGGGAAGCACAGCAGGGTCAGGACACGTTGGTGAGCTGTCACTGTGCCCCACTGTGCTGAGCCACCAGCTCTGGGGTGAACAAGTGGCCTTGCAGGGACAGCTCATCCAGCAGTGCCCAGAGTGCTGCAAGAGCCCCTGGGGTTGGAGGAGCCTTTTGGGCAGTGCCATGGAGCAGGGCCCTCGTGGCTCTGTGCCAGGGCTGCACCTGGGGCATCCCCTGGCACAGAACACCTCTCCCCTGTCCTCCTGCCAGGATTACCAGGCCATCGTGGATGCAGAGTGGAACATCCTGTATGACAAACTGGACAAAATCCACAAGTCAGGGGCCAAGGTGGTGCTGTCCAAGCTCCCCATTGGGGACGTGGCCACCCAGTACTTCGCAGACAGGGACATGTTCTGTGCCGGCCGCGTCCCGGAGGAGGATCTCAAGAGGACCATGATGGTGAGCTCCCCTGGCTTGGGGGAAAGCCTTGGCAAAGTTCTGACAGCCCAGGTTGGGCATTCCCAAACAGCTGCTCACTGGTGGCACTGCTCCTCACAAGGGTGTGAAAGGACAAGGCTGTTCCCTGGTGGGGTGAGCAGTCACACCCTGGTGTTGTATATAAGGATCTGGTCAGTGCATCAGTAGAGGTCTATTTTCCTGAGTTCTTCTCTTTTTCATCATGAGTGTTTTTTTCCCCTGAGCTTTCTTTGTGTATCTCCTGGGCTCTGGAGTCTCTGAGTCAGCACCTTGAAGCTGCATAAACTTATTTTGCTGTTGAGGGTTGGCCTGGGTCCCTGAGAGGGGAGGGAGGGAGGGAGAAGGGTTTTCCTGAATCTGCAGGATGGGTTTGCACCAACTCAACAGCTGGGCTGTCCCTGGAGAGTGGAGCCTGCTGGGAGGTTGGTGTGGGTTGTCAGCAGTGGTAATTCCATGTTTGTCCCCATTCCCTGCAGGCCTGTGGGGGATCCATCCAGACCAGTGTCAATGCCCTGTCGGATGATGTGCTGGGCCGCTGTCAGCTCTTTGAGGAGACCCAGATTGGGGGAGAGAGGTAAAAACACCAGCTGCAAACCTGTGGTGCTGTGCAAGCCCTCTCATAGCAGGTGGAAAAGCTGGGGTCAAAGCATTGGCAGGGTCTACATCTCTCAAGCTGTTGAGTTGAAAACAAGGTTGTTACAAAATGTATATTTTATTGTAGCCAGAAGCTGCTGTTTGAGGCTGAGGGAGGGGGCAGGAGCAAGATTTCATCATTGAGATCCTAGCTCTTGTAAAAGCCTTTAGAATACATGTTTATTCTGCAGTGCCTTGTAAAAAGGCCAGTGGTACTGTTGCATTTGCAATGCAAAACCACCACATTTTGGGGTTGCTTGTGGCACTTCTGTGATGTTCCAGCTTGACGCTTCCCTGTCAGCGCAGGAGAAGCTGGGGATGGTACACTGGGGTCCTTCCAGTCCTGTTTGGAGCTGGCTGCTGCCCTCTGTGCACCTCCCAAGTGCAACCTGGGATCACCAGTTCAGTGTGAATCCCTGGCAGCAGGAAGAGAACAGATTTTCCTGGATTATCTGGAATGTCACTTCTGTGTTCCCTGGCCCTGCTCCTCCTAGGCCCAGGATGCTCTGGGGCTGCGAGGGGGACACGGCTGCAGGGCTGGCTGCGTCCCACGCTGCCTGTCCAGCAGCAGCTCCTCCATGCCACACCCTCCCTCTGGCAGGTACAACTTCTTCACGGGCTGCCCCAAGGCCAAGACGTGCACCATCATCCTGCGCGGGGGCGCGGAGCAGTTCATGGAGGAGACGGAGCGCTCCCTGCACGACGCCATCATGATCGTCAGGAGGGCCATCAAGGTGAGCCTGCCCTGCCCTGCCCTGCCAGGGCTGCTGGGCACCTCTCACACACCAGGGCTTGGCTGAGGGCTCTGGAGAGTGAGCACGTCTCGAGGGTTCCCTCGAGTGCAGCTCCTTGGCCGGCTCAGCGTGGCTCTGGCAGCGTTTGCAGCTGCTCTCCAGGCACGCCTGGGCTTCACCTGCGCTTCTGTGCAGCTGTGCCTCGTGCTTGCTCCATCCTCCACCCTAAAGGGAGCGGTCTCCTGGCTGTGCTGGGTGGCTCTTCAGGAGATGGAACAGCAGATTGATGGCACGTGTGTGTCCATGCCCATAGAGCCACTTGACCCCTCTCTTGGTGCCCAGTCTGAGGGCATGACAGTCCCGTGCCTCTGAGGGCAGGTTGGGGCCACCAGGAGAAGTCCAAGGCCTCTCTGGACGTTTGTTTGGTCCTGGATGATGCTGCCAAGCTCTGGGTTACACAAAAACGTGTCGCTGTAGGAAGGGCTTCTGGTTAAAAGCAGCCCTGAGGCTGCATGTCCTGAGGGGCTGTGGAGAAGCACATCAGTTTTGGAGATGTTGCTTTTAGGAAGGACAGCCTGATGTCTTTTCTGGAATAGCAGAACTGAGCTGCAAGGTGCTGCTGCCAGTATCTTTAGTTTTGTATGCTTTGTGAGAGTGAGGAAGTTTCCCTGGCCCGAGCTGGCTGTGAACTGCCATCCCTCCTTTGGGTGTATTGTCCCCAAACCCGCCCTTCTCCTGTGCACAGCTGGGCTGAGCTGCTGGAGCTGCCACTGGAGGTTCTTGGTGTGTCCCTGCTGCTGCTGGCAGACAGTCCCAGGGACAGCAGCACCAGGGCTGTGCATTGCCATGGGCTGTACATTGCCATGGGCTGTGCAGTGCCATGGGCATTGCAGTGCCATGGGCTGTGCAGTGCCATGGGCAGTGCAGTGCCCAGGGCTGTGCAGTGCCCAGGGCTGTGCAGTGCCATGGGCTGTGCAGTGCCATGCCTGCAGGGCTGTGCAGTGCCTGCAGGGCTGTGCATTGCCATGGGCTGGCAGGGCTGGGGCTGGCAGGGCTGTGCATTGCCCAGGGCTGTGCAGTGCCATGGGCCATGGGCAGTGCAGTGCCCAGGGCTGTGCAGTGCCCAGGGCTGTGCAGTGCCATGGGCTGTGCATTGCCATGGGCATTGCAGTGCCATGCCTGCACGGCTGTACATTGCCATGGGCTGTGCAGTGCCATGCCTGCAGGGCTGTGCAGTGCCATGGGCTGTGCAGTGCCATGGGCTGTGCAGTGCCATGCCTGCAGGGCTGTGCAGTGCCATGGGCTGTGCAGTGCCATGGGCTGTGCAGTGCCATGCCTGCAGGGCTGTGCAGTGCCATGGGCTGTGCAGTGCCATGCCTGCAGGGCTGTGCAGTGCCCAGGGCTGTGCAGTGCCATGGGCTGTGCAGTGCCATGCCTGCAGGGCTGCAGCACCCTGCCAGAGCCCCTGTGCTGTGCCCTGTCCCTGCAGAACGACTCGGTGGTGGCGGGCGGCGGCGCCATCGAGATGGAGCTCTCCAAGTTCCTGCGGGACTACTCGCGCACCATCCCGGGCAAGCAGCAGCTGCTGATCGGCGCCTACGCCAAGGCCCTGGAGATCATCCCCCGGCAGCTCTGCGACAACGCCGGCTTCGACGCCACCAACATCCTCAACAAGCTGCGCGCCAAGCACGCCCAGGTAGGGCCCGCTGCCGTGCTTTGGAAAGCCAGGTGTGTGCTGAGGAAGGCAGGAGCCTCCCCTGAAATGGAAAATGGAAACCCCCTCCCTCTGAATTATTGTCATTTTGAAATTAAGGGGCTCTCAGCAAAACAATTAATTATTAATGACCCATTAACAGAGGATATCTCCTGGAGAGAGGATTGGTTGTGGAAGAGCTAAAGCAAACTGCCCATGAAAAGCAGAGAGCTGCCCCAGCTCTGACAGGTGGAATACACAGCCCCAGCTGCATCTTTCAGCCTGAGGCACCCAGGCATCCCAGAGGCAGTGTGTGTGGTTCCTTTCTCCCCAGCTCCCTCCTGGAGCCTGTCAGAGCTGGTGCAGCTCAGCTGAGCCCGTGTTGGAGCCCTGTCCCCTTTGATTAAACTCTGTGTTTGTTTCACATCAGGTGTGGGCCTGGCACAGGTTGCTATAAATGGAAAGGAGCTGTTTTCCCTTTGATCCCAGCTGTCAGGTGACTTCCTGAGCTGGGAGTTGTGATTTGCTCCTTAAAAACTCATCACTTGTCAGGAAGGAGCTGCTGTGATAAACATTAAAGGAAGCAGGAGGCAGCTGAGCTGAGCGTTTTACACGGGAGCTGCAGGCTGAAGGTTCTGGGTGCTGGTCTTGTGGAGATCCCAGCTCCAGGGCTTGGAGGTTGCCCCTTGGGTTCTGTCACTCCCAGCACGTTTCACCCTGCTGCTGGTGCTGGGGCTCGGGGGAGTGCCCCAAAATGAGGGTGCAAACCCAGGCAGCAGCACATGGGGAGTCAGGCCTGGAGGCTTCTGCAGCTTCATGGCAGGGGCTGCCCAGGGAGCTTTGGAGTCCCCAGCCCTGGAGGTGTCCAGGGAAGGGCTGCAGGTGGCTCTCAGGGCTCTGGGCTGGTGACAAGGGGATGGGGCACAGCTGGGTCTGGATGGTGTGGGAGGGCTTTTCCAGCCTCGGTGACTCTGTGATCCTGGACTGGAAGGAGCCTCCTCTTGGTGAGGCTCTGCTGGCCCTGATAGCAGAGACTGCTCCGCTGGGATTTCTTGTTTTCCTGCACAGCGGAATGGGAGGGAGGCTCCAGCCTCTCCCTTCACCTTTGCCTGGCCTTCCCTCCCAGGCTTTCCCTAAGTTCCACCCAGCCCCGTGACCAATCCCTGTCCCCTTTGTCCCCTCTGTCCTCTCAGAGTGGGATGTGGCACTGATCCTTGTGTCCCTCTGTCCTGCAGGGCAGGATATGGTACTGATCCCTGTCCCCCTCTGTCCCCAGAGCAGGCTGTGGCACTGATCCCTGTCCCCAGGGCAGGCTGTGGCACTGATGTGTCCCTCTGTCCCCAGAGCAGGCTGTGGCACTGATCCCTGTCCCCAAGGCAGGCTGTGGCACTGATGTGTCCCTCTGTCCCCAGAGCTCTGTCCTGCAGGGCAGGATATGGTACTGATCCCTGTCCCCCTCTGTCCCCAGAGCAGGCTGTGGCACTGATCCCTGTCCCCAGGGCAGGCTGTGGCACTGATCCCTGTCCCCAGGGCAGGCTGTGGCACTGATCCCTGTCCCCAGGGCAGGCTGTGGCACTGATCCCTGTCCCCAGGGCAGGCTGTGGCACCTATCCCTGTCCCCAGAGCAGGCTGTGGCACTGACGTGTCCCTCTGTCCCCAGGGCGGGATGTGGTACGGCGTGGACGTGACCAACGAGGACATAGCTGACAATTTCTCGGCGTGCGTGTGGGAGCCGGCCGTGGTGCGCATCAACGCGCTGACGGCGGCCTCGGAGGCCGCGTGCCTCATCGTGTCCGTGGACGAGACCATCCGCAACCCGCGCTCCAGCGTGGACACCGCGGCTGCCGGCGCTCCCCGCGGCCGCGCCCGCGCCCGGCCCCACAACCACTGAGCCCCCAGACCCGCTGGGCTCAGCGCTGCTCCTGCCCAGGGCTGCCAGCCCCACAGCCACTGAGCCCCCAGACCCGCTGGGCTCAGCGCTGCTCCTTCCCTGGGCTGCCAGCCCCACAGCCACTGAGTTCCCCAGACCCACTGGGGTCAGCGCTGCCCCTTCCCTGGGCTGCCAGCCCCGGGGTGGGGGTGGTCACAGGCAGCTCCTGGTGGTCACAGGCAGCTCCTGGCAGTCACAGGCAGCTCCTGGCGGGTTTGGGCAGCTCCTGGCGGTCACAGGCAGCTCCTGGTGGTCACAGGCAGCTCCTGGTGGTCACAGGCAGCTCCTGGTGGTCACAGGCAGGTGGGGGTGGTCACAGGCAGCTCCTGGTGGTCACAGGCAGCTCCTGGCAGTCACAGGCAGCTCCTGGCGGGTTTGGGCAGCTCCTGGTGGTCACAGGCAGCTCCTGGCACTGGCAGCCAGAGCCCTGGAGCTGCCTTGCCCTACCCAGCGCTGCCTCACTGGCCTGGGCATTCCCTCAGGACCCTTCCCTCCCCAGGAGCATTCCCTCCCTGGGGACCCTTCCCTCCTTCGGGCTGGAGCCCAGTGCAGGGGGGCTTTGGGGCCTATTTATACTGGTTTGTGTTTTGTTCTGCTGGGCAGTTTGAAGCCAGGCTCCAGCACAATAAAACGAGTTGGTCTCAGTGGCACACTGGGCTTGTCCTCTGTTCTCTGCTGCATTCCTCCTGAGGGGAGGCCTCAGGACTGGAGTTAGAAATGAACCTTTCGGGCTGGTTTTTGCCTCGTTTCAAAGCAGGTGCTGTGCTGGAGAGCAGGGCAGACTCCAGGCACAGCCCAGGAGTGCCTCGAGGATGGAGCACCTCTGTGTGTGCTTGGAGCTCTTGGAAATTGCTCAATGATGCTTTAATTGGCTTCTGCTCAATGGGGCATTTCCATTTCCCATTTGCTTCATGGAAGCAGGTTCAGGGCAGCAGCTGGGTGACAGCTCCAAGGGGCTCCAAGGATGGATCCAGGCATTTGGGGGGACTCGGGGAGGAAAATGGTGCTGGGAGAACATGGGGAGACTTGGATCTGCTGGGTTACAGGTGAGGAGGAGGACAGTGAAAGAAATCATGGGATGGTTTGGGTTGGAAGGGACCATGAAGATCATCCAGGGACACCTTCCACTGTCCCAGGCTGCTCCCAGCCCTGTCCTTGGACAGGGACACTTGAGGAACCCAAGGGCATCCCCAGCTGCTCTGGGCACCTGTGCCAGGGCCTGCCCCTCTCCGTGCTCCCCCCATGCTGTGTCCCTGTGTCCCTCTTGGTCCCTGTGTCCCACTTTGTCCCCGTGCCCCTGATGCCAGCCCAGTGGAGCCCCTGGACCTGCACAGGGAGTCAGGAGGACACTTCCAGGAGGCCCCAGGCAGCGACTGTCATCACTGGTGTGGGTCCAGTGTGACCCCCGGGAGAGTGACAACCCAGCTGGATCTCCAGAGTCTTTATTCAACACCGAGTCATAAAATAGCTCTTTACACGCTTCGCTGGGGGTCGTTTCTCTGTAATTCTTTGAGTACACATTGTTTACACTTGCCAAAGTTTCAAAGCAACAACATCAAAGTGCGTCTACGGGCGAGAGTTCCAACCAAAGTGCTAAACCCACGGGCTGCAGGCCGGAGCTGGCCCTGCTCCCTGCCCTGCCCCATCCCTGCTCTCCCCTCCAGAACTGCTCCGGCCTCAGCATCCAGGGGCTGGGGGCAGGAAGGGATGTTTGGTTCTCCAGACACTGGCACATCGCTGCGGAAAGGCTAAAATAGACCTAGATTTATAGAGAGTTAAAAAAATAACTTGGGAGGCCACGGGGAGCTCTGGGGAGGGGAGGTCGCTGTACACCGCTGCCGTCCAGGGCTGTAGGCAATGATTGCAGTTCCTGATTTCTATATCTCTGTTCTCTGCGCTGATTATCTCCTCTGATTATCTCGAAGCAACTGTGCATCGCCCCCTCGCTTCCCCAAAACTGCCCCACACCATTGCACCCACTTGTCCCCGGCCCCAACCTGCCTCGTTGCCCTCCATGGGCTCAATCCCGAGGCTGCATTAGAAAATCTCTTTTTTTCCTTGCTTTTGGGCAGTTTTCCCCCCTCGCTGCTGCAGCAGCTTTCCCTCAGTGCTCTGCCGCCCTCCCCAGGGATTATTTTGCCTCCCACTGATGGGGAAGGTCCGTCACCACCTCACAACACCCTGCAGTGCTTTGGTCACAACAAACCATCTCTGCTTCCCAACATCTCCCTGCTCCCTGGGATTTTTTCCCTTTTAAAGCACTTCCTCATTTGGCACCGATTCCCAAATGCTTTTGCTCCAGCCCAACCTGCTGTTTCTCACCCCAAAATGAGGCTGAAGCAATGCTCCAGCGCCTGGGCTGGGGCCTCCCCTAAAAGCTGAAGGAAAACATCTGTTAACCACTTCAAGAGACATTACCAGCACTTCTCCTGGTTTGTTTTTGTTCTGTTTTCCCTAAATCCAGGCTCTTTTGGGGGATCCAGACAAACCCCACCACGGCCATGCCCTTGGTGGCAGCAGGGACCAGGACACCCAGCAAGAAGGGGGACAGAGAGGTTTAAAATCCTGCTGGGGCAGAGCCAGCCTGGGGGTCCCCCTTGCCTCAGCCCCTGACACCCTGGAGCCCCAAGGCAGAGGGATAAGGCAGGAGGAGCCCCTGAGCCCCAGGGCATCCCTGGCTCCTGGGGGTGGTGGGGAACTAGTGAAATCCAACACGAGGGAGACACAAAACCAGGGATTTGGGATGGCTTTGGCCCCCGAGCTGCCTTTGGTGATGTTGTTCCTCTTGAAATCCCTGACCAGCGCCCAAATCCGGGTGCAGGGAACGCCGGCAATGTCAGCCATGGGGAAACTTTGGGAAAACGCATTAGAAAAGGAATAAATCTCCCCGGAGCTGGCCCTGCAGGAGCCAGGCTCAGAAGCACGGTCCATCCAGCCCCTGCCAGCTCTGGCCATTGCTGTGAGCCCAATCCTGTCCCGGCTCCCCGGACTTCAGTGGGATTGTCATCGCAGAGCCCCCCTGGCACTTCTCAACGTGCTGTGTGGTTTGCAGGCTTTCCCAGGAGCATTTCTGGGTATTCCCATCGCTTCCAGAGGAAACGGGGCGAGGCTGGGTGAATCCGGGGCAGCGTGGGCAGAGCCCCCCGCGGGGATGGGGCTGGGGGGGCCGCACCCCCGCGGGACAGGCAGGGGAAGCAGCAGGGGCTGGATCCGTCTGACATTTCAGAGCCGTTAATGAGCTCGTTAACGAGCTGGGCAATTAGGAGCCACCAGGAGGGCCCTCCTTCCACCACTCCTGTCCCTGTGCCAGCTGCCTTCGTCCCTGGCCGAGGAGGAGGATGAGGAAGGGATCCGTTCAGGAGGATGAGGAAGGGATCCGTTCAGGAGGATGAGGACGGGATCCGTTCAGGAGGATGAGGAAGGGATCCGTTCAGGAGGATGAGGAAGGGATCCGTTCAGGATGAGGAAGGGATCCGTTCAGGAGGATGAGGAAGGGATCCGTTCAGGATGAGGAAGGGATCCGTTCAGGAGGATGAGGACGGGATCCGTTCAGGAGGATGAGGACGGGATCCGTTCAGGAGGATGAGGAAGGGATCCGTTCAGGAGGATGAGGACGGGATCCGTTCAGGAGGATGAGGAAGGGATCCGTTCAGGAGGATGAGGACGGGATCCGTTCAAGCCCAAGCAAAACAGGCAGAACCCCCCACTTTCCATCTTCTAATCCTTGCACCCGCTCAAGGCCTTGTGTCGTCGGAGGATTTTTGTAAAAAGGAGGCTTTGCCGGGCTGGGTTTTTCGGGAATGCCCCAAGCAGAGCTCAGGGGTTGATCTGGTCCTGGGGAAGCACCGAAGCCCCGGGGGCAGCGCAGGGATGGGGTGTCACAGGGTCACCAACGCCACCACACACACAGCCACCGACCCCGCTGGCACAGAGGGCTTCTCTGGGGGTCCTCACACCTCCCCTCTTTCCACCACCTCATCCTGGAGGAGCCGGGAGAGGCTGGGGGCACACCCGGAGCAGCCACCTCCAGCCTCGTGCCACGAGAGTCTTTAAGCATAGAGAGTATAAACATGCTGAGTATATAATTTTCCTTTAAAATCTTTTTTTTTTTCCTTCTTCTTTATAGAAATAAATAGGTACTTTTTTTGTTTGTGTTTTTGAGGGAATTCCGAGTCCCTGCGCTGTGGTGGTGCCGTCTCCGCTGGGCCACGCTCCTGCACGGGGCTGGGAGCTCCCCAGGGGTTGTAGCTCTGCTGGGTGGTTTTTTTGCTGGTTGGAGCATCCCTTGCTCCTCTTGCCCCTGGATCAGGAGTGTCCCAGGCTCCCCGGGGTGGAGGTAAACCCAGGTGGGCATGGCAGGAGCTGGGAGCTCATCCGCGGGCCCTGGGGCGTGCAGGAGTTTCTCGCAGGCATTTTGGGGCTCCCACATTTTGTGCATTCAGGAACAGCCTTCTCCTGGAAAGCTGCACGGGAGGGGGAGCAGGGGTGCTTCCCAAGGGGGCTGTGGCCCCAAAACCCCCACCCTGCTCCAGAGCAGACAGGCAGGAGGGATGGAGGGTGGCTGAGGGGTCTCGAGCTGCCTCCAGAGCCCCACCAGCCCCAGCGATCTGGGGGTGCTTTTCCTTGCTCTGGGGATCCCCACGGGCTGTGTGGCAGCCCCAGCTGAGGTCGGCAGCTCTTGTGCCACGGCTGAGGGAGGTGGTGCTGGATCTGCAGCCCGGTCCCTCCCAGGGGGACGCCCCACGCGAGCCCACTGCTCCAGGAGGGCTGGGGAGGGGACAGGACAGGCTCTGGGAGCTGTCCCCTCAGCCACGCTGGCCAGCAGGCACCAAATCCTGCAGCGCTGCTCCAGGGAACAGGAAAAGCCCCAATCCACTCTCCCAGTCGCCTCCTCTCACTCAGCCCGGTGGGTCCAAGGCCAGGGCTGGGCTGTGGGTAAGGCTGGGCTGTCCCCACTGCTGGCAGTGCTCTGATGGGTGTCCCCAGTCCCGGGGACACCTCCTGGTTCCTTCTGTCCAGGGTGGAGGATGGAGATGCCTGACCCTGACGCCTTTTCCCGTGGAAAAAGGATGCTTTGGGGATGATGACGATGATGATGTCCTTGCAGGCTGAGGACACTCAGAAGAAAAATCAGATTATCAAGTGGTGGCTGTAGATAAGGGTCAGCCAGGGCTGTTGGTCGGTGCTTTTCCCAGGATCATTTCAGGACGATCTGGCCAGGGTTTCTCCTTCAGGCTGCTGGGAAGGCAGACGTGGCTGTTCCCTGCCAGTCTCTCTCCACGTGGGACCGCTGCCCCCGGATGGAGGCTGGCTGTGGAGGGACAGGAGCGTGACCCGTGTTTCCTGCTGGAGGAGGATGTGGAGGTGCTTTATTGCCTTGGCAGGAGGGGTTTGGTGGGAGGAGTGAGGCTGGAGCCCCTGGCAGAGCGCCCATCTCTCCTGGCGTGGCTCCCAGAGCCTGAGGTGCAGCTCTGCTCCTTGTGCTGTGCTGGCTCCCGGGAGCCTTTCCCTGCTTCGGCTGCCCCGCTGTCAAATCCCAAAGGAAAAGGGGCACAAAGCCCGTGGGAATGCTGGGGGAGGAGCAGCCCCTTCCCACCCCACACACAGGTGGGGGTGCAGAGGCCAGCCAAGAGCCCCCAGAAGGGGCTGGGCCACCCCTGGCAGCCAGAGATCCCCAAAGCAGAGTTCTGCTCAAGAGCCGTCCCCAAACGCGGATCCTGGGTGAGGAGCGGCCGCAGGGCCGCGCAGCCATCCTCCCTCCTGGCAAAGAGCTGGGCCCTGGCTCTGGGGCAGCCAGAAATTGTCCTTAAGTAGCACCTTGTGGCCCGTGAGCGGCCCCGGGACGGCCCCGAGGATTGGGGCTCCTTGTGCCCGAGCCGGGGGTCCCCGCCAGGGCTTTGGTCTCAGGGGTCTCGGGCTCCGCTGGGCAGAGCAGGCAATGTGCTTTGGGCTCCTGAAGGGCTAACAGCCTCCCTCCACCTTGATGTGTAAAATCTTGGAGAAGCCGGGTCTTTTCCTCAGGGCCTGCAAGAGCAGCAGACGGCGGGGCTGGGGGAGCCAGCAGTGCCACTGCTCCCTGGGGAGGGGGAAAGGGGTGCCCCAAATCCTGTATGGGGTGAGGGGGGGAATGGGGAATGCCCCAAATCCTGCATGGGGTGAGGGGGGGAATGGGGAATGCCCCAAACCCTGTATGGGGTGAGGGGGGGAATGGGGAATGCCCCAAACCCTGTATGGGGTGAGGGAGGGAAAGGAGTGCCCCAAACCCTGTATGGGGTGAGGGAGGAACAGGGAATGCCCCAAACCCTGTATGGGGTGAGGGGGGGAATGGGGAATGCCCCAAACCCTGTATGGGGTGAGGGGGGGAGAGGGAATGCCCCAAATCCTGTATGGGGTGAGGGGGGGAGAGGGAATGCCCCAAATCCTGTATGGGAAAGAAAGGGGCAAGGGAGGAACAGGGGAATCCCTGCCATGGGAAGGACACAGGGCAAGGGAAGGAGAGGGGGGATATCTCCAATCCCTGCCTCAGGGAGGACATGGGGTGAGGCAGGGACAGGGGGAACATTTCTGACCCCAGCCTTGGCAAGGACACAGGGCTGCTGACACCTGGGAGCTGGGACCGGGCTCCTTTACCTGGAGTTTGTTCACCATTTCTTCAAACATCTTCCTGGCTTCGGGGCTGTGGGGCTCCTTGAAGTAGTCCACGATCCCCACCTGCACCACGATGGACTTCAGGTTGCGGCACACACCTGGGGGCACAGACAGCAGCTGGAGCTGCTCCCCGGGGCCAGCAGGGACCCCGGCTCCACCCTGTGCTCCTCCCTGACATTCCAGCCACAGCAGCCGAGCTGGGGCCAGCAGGACAGGCTGTGGGCTCCCGCCCTGGCCAAGGGCTCCAGCCAACCACTCGGGTCTGTCACAAGCCTCAGGTGTGTCACCTGAGGTGTGTGTGAGACCCTGGGGCCGTGGAGGCAGCCCCTCCATCCTCCCTGCGGCCCGAGGCAAGGCCAGCTCTCCCTGGCCCATTCCCAGTGGGGATGCTGGGTCCCCAGAGAGCTCCCAGCTCTCCCTGGCCCATCCCTGGTGGGGATGCTGGGTCCACAGAGAGCTCCCAGCACCTCCCTGGCCCATTCCCAGTGGGGATGTTGGATCCCCAGAGAGCTCCCAGCACCTCCCTGGCCCATCCCTGGTGGGGATGTTGGATCCCCAGAGAGCTCCCAGCACCTCCCTGGCCCATCCCTGGTGGGGATGTTGGATCCCCAGAGAGCTCCCAGCACCTCCCAGTGCCCACAGCTCCCGTGCTGGTGCCAGGTCACGGCCCTGGCACTGCTACTCACTGTTGAAGTGCAGCAGGGCTTTGGGGGTCACGGGCGTGGAGGTGAGCACCAGCATCTCCAGCCCCTTGAGCCCCTCCCGGCACACCTCGGCAGCCACCTCCTGGTTGATCTCGGCCACATGGTCCAGCTCCAGCACCTGCAGCCTCATGCAGTTCCGGGCTGTGGGACACAGCCGTCAGCACCGCGGCAGGGACAGGGACAGGCACAGGGCAGGACAGGGACAGGGACAGGCACAGGCACAGGGACAGGCACAGGCACAGGGACAGGCACAGGGACAGGGGCAGGACACGGACACGCACAGGGACAGGCACAGGGACAGGCACAGGGACAGGGACAGGCACAGGGACAGGCACAGGGACAGGGCAGGACAGGGCAGGACACGGACAGGCACAGGGACAGGCACAGGGAGCAGGCACCGGGGGGCTGGGAGCACCCACGGAGCTGGGGCTGGGTGGGCTTCCGCACGGGGACCCCAGGGAGCAGCCCCCTGCCCACAGCCAGGGAGCTGTCCTTGTCCCACCAGAGCAGGAGGGAGGTGCTGCCAGGGAGGGCTGGAGTCCCCACCCCTGCAGGTGTCCAGGGAAGGGCTGGAGGTGGCACCCTGTGCCCTGGGCTGGGGACAAGAGGGAATTGGGCACAGGGTGGCTTGGTGATCCCAGAGACCCTCCCCAAGCCCAGTGACCTGTTCGGTAACCTGTGATCCCGAGTGCTGGGCAAGGGACAGGGTGGGCATCGGGCATGGGGTGGGCATGGGGCACAGGGTGGGCATGGGGCAGAGGGTGGGCATCGAGCACAGGGTGGGCATCGGGCACGGGGTGTGTGGGCGGCCCCAGAGCTCCCCCCAGCCCAGCGACCCTCGGAGCCCAGCAGTGCCTACCGAGGGAGGCCAGGCCCTGCAGGCCGCAGCCGGCGCCGCCGACGCCGAGCGCGCGCAGGTGGGGCCAGCAGCGCCCGATCATCTGCAGGCAGCGGTTGCTGAAGCGTGTCGGCTGCTGGCTGGGGACACGAGGGACAACAGCTGGGGTGGCACGGCCGCCCAGCCCCCTGGCACCCCTGGGAGGGGCTGCACCGGGAGCTCTGCCACCCCGCCGGCCTGGGGCCACCCTGGGGTGAGCAGCCTGGCACAGCTGGGGCCACCCCCGGGTGAGCAGCCTGTCACCAGCCTGGGGCCACCCTGAGGTGAGCAGCCTGGCACCAGCCTGGGCTGTGCTGCCACTGGGACAGGGCAGCTCCGAGTGCCCCGCGCCCCAAAGCCTGCCCAGAGCAGCTGGCAATGCCCTGCACCCCTGGCAGTGCCCCAGGCCAGGCTGGAGCAGCCTGGGATGCTGGGAGGTGTCCCTGCCATGGCAGGGGTGGCACTGGACAGTGTTTAAGGTTTCTTCCAACCCAAACCGCTCCAGGATTCCGTGATTCCAACCCTGGAGACCCAAATCAGGCCCTGAGCTCTGTTGCTTGCAGGGATCCAAGCAGCAGCAGGGCCTGGGTCTCTGGCTCAGTGAGAAGCCACGTGCCACGTGCTGCTCCCCCAGGGCAGACAGGAGCCACCAGGCTGTGACACCGGGGGTGGCACGGCCATGAACAGCGCCCAGGGGACTGTCCTGAGGCACAGAGCTGTGTCCTGCTGCGTGAGCCATCAGGCACTGTGGGGTGGAGTGAGACTCCACCACCACCTCCCCAAAATGCCTTCCCGAAATGAGAGCAGCTGCTGTGACCCCCCCAAGCTGTGACACCCTCTCAACAACAGCCACCAACAGCCTGCTCCTGCTGCAGCTGGGCAGGGAGAGCTCAGACAAGCCTTTGATGTTCATGCCACCTCCCAGAGCCAGCAGAGATCCAGATGTGGCTGTGAGCAGTGTCCCTGGAGCACTCGAGCTGCAGAGCCCAGCAGCTCCAGTCTGCACAGGGAGGGATGGGCTGGGCTCCAGGACTGCTGCTCATCCCATGGAGATCCCCCCAGGCAAATCAGGGTCTGGCACCCCAATCCTTCCCAGCTCACTGGAGTCCTTTCACACCCAGCGTGGCTCCCTCCTAACCAGTTCCAGGCCAGGCTGGACAGGGCTGGCAGCACCTGGGACAGGGGGACGTGTGTGTCCCTGCCACGGCAGGGCTGGCTCTGGCTGGGCTGCAGGCTCCCTCCCCACCCAGCCCACCTGTGCTTCCAGGCCTTACCAGGGGTGCAGAGGGGCGACCTGCAGGGAGATGATGTCCCTGCAGCCTGCTCCAAGGGCCCAGATCACCTCATGGCCCACGGGGTCCGTGGAGCTCCTGGAACAACACAGGGGACACGTGATGGCCCCAGTGGCAGCAGTGCCACCCTGGGCTGGCTCTGCATCCCCCAGGAGCTGCCTGCAGCACCCCCAGGGACCAGTCTGGTCATGGTTTACAGCCCAGGGGCTGCAGCCAGCCCTGCAGCACCCTGTGCAGGAGGGCTGCAGGCATTCCCTGCGGGAAAGGGCAGGTGTCGCCCTGATTTTGTAAGATTTTGTTAAGCCTTCTGATGTTTGCATTCTTTCAACAAACTTTCTCACACACAGTTCTGTAAATAACCTATGTTTTGCATTCTTTCATGGAGGGGGAGAGAATTGATGGACCCTTGGTCTGTCCAGTGGCATTGGAGAGGTGGCACTGTCACCCTCCAATCCACTGTCACCTTTGGAAAACTATAAATGTTGGAGTCAGAAAATAAAGTTTTTCTTCTTCTTCTTTTTGTTCCCCTCGAGAGCAGCAGTGTCTGTGTCATCATTTCGTGCCTTATCACAACAGGCAGGGGCAGGAGGTGGGGCTGGGGGAAGAGGGGCAGCAGGGAGGAAGGGGAGGTTGAGCATGGAAGGTGCTGCAGGTGAAGAGGAGCAGGAGGGAGGAAGGAGAGGTTGAACGTGGAAGGTGCTGCAGGTGAAGAGGAGCAGGAGGGAGGAAGGAGAGGTTGAACGTGGAAGGTGCTGCAGGTGCATCTTCCACATGCCAAGGTGACAAGTGACTGGCTGAGACTGCCAGGCCGTGTGTCCCTGCTGGGACAGAACCTGTCCCTGTCCCTGTAGGTCACACTGTGTCGGTGTCCCTTTGCCACCTGCCTGGCCGGGATGGGGACAGTGCCAGGGGCTGGAGGGACACCCCAGCCAGGGGCAGGGGCTGCTCCGTGGCCTCTGTCCCTGCTCTGTGCCTGTGCCACTGTGGCTGGAGGTGGCTCTTGGCCAAATGTCCCTGCAGGGTCTGCTCTGGCTCCTCCTCGGGGTCCTTGGAGGCACCAGGAGAGGCCTTGGGGAGCTGGGCAGGGGCTGGGGCAGGTGTGGGTTTGTCGTGGGCTGGGGTGGAGCCCATCTCTGGGAGAGGAGCCAGAGAGCAGCACCCTGGTGCCACCAGCCCAAACAGTCCCCAGGCTGTGCCACCACACCAGGAGCCTTCCAGGCTGCGCTTCCCAAGTCTAAATGCCCCACTTCAGGACTTCAGGCAAGCCTAAAAATAAGGCTGGGTGTTATCTCGGGTGCCTCACACATCTGTGCTGGAGCAGGGTGCCAAGAGCAGCAGGTCAATCCGAGCGAGCGTCAGGCACGGCTCAGGATGTGCCAGGAGCACTCAGGCTGGCTCTGCTGCCCTGGGAACAGCCAGAGGAGCAGCCTGGGAGCCCAGCCTGGCAGCTCTGGGCTGGCTCCTGTCTCGGGGTGTGGGCAGAGCCAGCTCTGGGCTCCTGGGGTCACGCCAGGGGAGCAGCTGGATGTGCTTTCCCCCCGGGAGGATTCTCTGTCCTGGCTGCAGGAGGAGCAGACACCAGGGCTGAGGTGCTGCAGCAGAGCCAGGATCACCCTCCTGGGTGAGGGAAGGCCAGTCCTGTCTCCACAGGTGGAGGGGCCAGTGATGCCCCCCAGGACCTGTGACCTCCTCCAGGATCATCGAGTCTTGAGTCCTCGACCTCAGGCAAGGTGTCCAAGCTGAATCTCAGCTCTCCCTGGGCAGAGCTGCTCCTCCCTCCCAGGAGAGAGGGACCCTGAGCCTCTTCTCTCCCCTAGGATCCTTCATCAGGGGTGACAGCCAGGTGGGACCTCCCTGGGCACCCCCTCCTCACCCTCCCCTACCACAGAGGGGTGCCTCCTTGCCAAGCCCCCGGCCCATCCAGCCAGGATGAGATGGGTGATGGGATGATGGGAATGGAGCTGGAAGTGAAACACCTGCGTGGGAGCAGCCTGGAAGGGATGGGAGCTGCAGGGACAGCTGGCACTGGGGACACTGGGGCTGCCACTGGACAGGCAGGGCCTTTGCCCCCGGGCAGTGGGCTGTGCTCTGCCAGGGAACGGGGGTGATCTCCGTGGGAATCCATAAAATCAGAGGTTTTTGGGAAAGCTGTGAAAGGCAGGCCTCAGAGACAGCAAACTGTGATTAGAGCTAAGCAGTAGCCATAAAATAAGTCAGCAGAAAAATTATGTAAAAAGTAGAAAAGTGAGGACAAATGGAACAATGGTCTGTGTATTAACACTTGGCTAGAATAACTCCCTAAGCTGCAGAAAAGGCTATCTAGCGAGATATTGGGAAGTTCTAAGCTTAAAAATGGAGCTCTGTGCATTGTGTTTGAAGGCTCACAAGCAGGGATTGTATTTGAAATAAGCCAGCATTGTTTAACCAAAGGTCCGTGTGCTTACAGTGGCTGGATAGAACTGCTGTCAATGTGCTTTTGCTTGGTGTGACTGGTCAAAAAACTCATAAAGTGACTTGTAACATCGAGTTCTTGGTCTGCTGCCGGGATGTGAGCTGCTGGCACCTTCCCATTGTCATAACCACGGAATGAGACTGATGCTGGACAATAAAACAGCTCGAGGCACGTTCCCGGCAGTCCCATCCTGTTGGTGTTTTGTACCTAGCCCCCAGCCAACAATCTCAGCCCAGCCCTGGCTGTCCCCAGCGCTGTGGCCGTGCAGTGGCCGTCCTTACCGGTAGGTGACAGCCTGCAGGGCGCGGCAGTAGCAGCTGGCCAGCCAGAGCGAGCGGTCCGTGAGCACGTTGGGGCAGTGCGAGATGCGCAGGATCAGCAGGTTGCTGCCCGTCGCCTTCAGCAGCGACTCCAGCCCTGCCTCCAGGCAGCCCCTGCCAGGAGGGAGCCGGGTCAGGGGCAGCAGAGCCTGCTCACCCCCCGTCACCAGCCCAGGACGGGGACACGGCCCACCCGCGGCTCCAGGACACCCGAATCCCACAGGGGATTTGGAGTTTGTCGTGGAGAGGGATGGTGGGGCTCAGGGAGTGCAGCAGCAGCCCTGAGGAGCAGCAGCTGCAGCTGTGGGAGGGGACACGGGGACAGGGGACAGAAGGACAGGGGGACTCACCGCGTGCTCTTCATGTAATCCTCCTTGCTCTCCTTCTTGCCCCGCTGCCAGCTGTGGGAGGGGACAGGGGGACAGAAGGACAGGGGGACAGGGGGACAGGGGACAGGGGGACAGGGGACAGAAGGACAGGGGGACTCACCGCGTGCTCTTCATGTAATCCTCCTTGCTCTCCTTCTTGCCCCGCTGGCGCGGCTTCAGGTTTTGCAGGGTGAGGGAATGCATCTGGGTGCACCACTGGGACAGCATGGCCAGGAACTGGGGCACAGCGGGGACAGTCACGGGCAGGGACACCCCAGCACGCCCCACAGCACCCACCCTGCCCGTGCACACGCCTGGCACATGCACGTGCACATGCACACACGAGGCCGTGGCAGAGCACGTGTCACGAGCTCATGGGCGTGACCCCAAATTCATGGTGTGACCCCAAATTCATGGGCGTGACCAGAAAATGATGGGCGTGACCCCAAATTCATGGGCGTGGCCACAAAATGATGGGCGTGACCCCAAAATGATGGGCGTGACCCCAAATTCATGGGCGTGACCACAAATTAATGGGCGTGACCACAGAATGATGGGCGTGACCCCAAATTGATGGGCATGACCCCAAAATGATGGGCGTGACCCCAAATTCATGGGCGTGACCCCAAAAGCACATGAGAACCCGTGCCGGGCTGAGCTCCTGTCCTCCAGCAGCGCGGCAGGCACCCGCCGGTGTCCCCCGTGACCGAGTGGCACAGCCATCCCGGCCGCCGGGGAGCTGCTCGCCCAGCTTTGCCCTTCTGGAAGAAAGGCCGTGCCCCAGGCGGTGCCAGCCCCTCGCCGTACCTTGGAGGAGACCCTGGCGTTCTCCAGCAGCACCCGCGTCCACACGGCCGGGTGTCGGGCCACGAACTTCCAGTCCTTGCACACCTCGGCGGCGCGCAGCAGCGTCTTGGTGTCCAGGTAGGTGAAGATGCAGAAGAGAGCCGCCCTCATCTTGAGGATCTCGGGGCTGATGACCTCGCTGCAGTGGCCCGGGCTGCCCCGCTCCAGCCGGCACACCTTGGCCGCGGCCCCCTCGGGCCTGCCCGCGGCACACCCAGCGTCCGTGGCCACTGGTGCAGGAGAGGGCGGCGGGTGAGGGAAGCTCCATCCCGCAGCTCCCAGCCGCCCCTCCCGGCCCGGGGGTCGCGCTGCGCTCTCACCGGTCAGGCGGCAGCTGCCGGGCGGCCGGGACGCGGCGGATCCCGGTGCCTCGGGCTCCCAGCCCTCGGCCTCCGACTCGGTGGTGCGGGAGCCCACGTCGGACACGTCGCCCTCCTCGCCCTCGGTGCTGTTGCGGTAGGGCCGGCGGTGCCAGTTCTGGATGGCCTGGCGGCGCAGCCCCGAGCCCCGCGCCGCGTACGGGTGGCCCTCGGCCGCGTCGTCCGTGGGACACGGCTCCGCGCTGTCGCTGTCGTAGCAGCCCGAGCTCTGCGACACGGCCTTGGCCCGGCTCGAGGCCCTGGGGACGGGGGTGTCCCGGCTCAGGGCTGGCCGGGGCCGCCTCCCCTTCCCTCGCCCCGTTCAGGGCCCGGCACTCACCCGGTGCTGGAGCAGGAGCGCTGGTTGGCCGCGCCGTAGGGACCGTGCCCCGCCACCGCCGGCCCCGGGTGCCGCTCCCTCTGCGGGGACAGGGGACAGCGGGGCCGAGGTGGCACAACCAGCGTGGGCAGCCCAGGGAGGGCACCCCCGAGCACCGCCGGCTGCCTTCGGGGGGACCCCTGGCCCCTGCAGCACCGCCCGGCGCCCCGGGAGCCGCGACCCGCGGAGGAACGGCTTCTCGGGGACCCCCGGGGTTATCCCTTCCCCGCGGGGAGGAGAGGGGGGCCCCGCACCGCCCCGCTCGGCCCTGGCACAGCAGACCCCGGGGAGCACTGCTGAGGCCAGGGCTGCGTTGTGGAAGGCGAATTCCCGAAGCAGAGGGTGAATTCCCAAAGCCCCCGGGCGCATTCCCGAAGCCCTGCGTGAATTCCCGAAGCCCCGGGCACACTCCCCAAGCAGAGGGCGAATTCCCAAAGCCCCCGGGCACACTCCCCAATCAGAGGGTGAATTCCCGAAGGCCCCGGGCGCATTCCCGAAGCCCCCAGCCCCGCTCCCGAAGCACAGGTGAATTCCTGAAGCCCCCAGCCCCACTCCCGAAGCACAGGTGAATTCCCGAAGCCCCCAGCCCCGCTCCCGAAGCACAGGTGAATTCCCGAAGCCCCCAGCCCCACTCCCGAGGTCCCGGCCCCACTCCCGAAGCACAGGTGAATTCCCGAAGCCCCCAGCCCCACTCCCGAGCGAAGCACACGTGAATTCCCGAAGCCCCCAGCCCCGCCCCCGAAGCACAGGTGAATTCCCGAAGCCCCCAGCCCCACTCCCGAAGCACAGGTGAATTCCCGAAGCCCCCAGCCCCACTCCCGAGGTCCCGGCCCCGCTCCCGAAGCACAGGTGAATTCCCGAAGCCCCCAGCCCCACTCCCGAAGCACAGGTGAATTCCCGAAGCCCCCAGCCCCGCTCCCGCGGCCGGGCCGTGCCTGTGCCCGCAGAGGTACCGCTCGGGCGATGGCCTTGCTGGCCGGGGTGCCGCAGCGGCCCAGGCTGCCGTTGGGGGTGGTGCCGCAGCTGCTGCTGATGATCTGCAGCTGCTTCTCGGCGCGGTCGGCGCGGTCCAGCAGCTCCTCGATGAAGTGCTGCAGCCGCACCTTGGCGTTGGCCTCCCGCGCCGCCGTCTCCTTCAGGAACTGGTCGATCTGCAGCACCTCCCTGGCACAGGGACCGCGGTGACACCCCGGGGCTGCCCACCCGCCCCCGCTCAGCGCCTCCGGCCCCGTGTCCAGCACACCCGCCTTGGTCCGTCCCCGGCCCCGTGTCCGGCACACCCGCCTTGTTCCGTCCCCGGCCCCGTGTCCGGCACACCCGCCTTGTTCCGTCCCCGGCCCCGTGTCCGGCACACCCGCCTTGTTCCGTCCCCGGCCCCGTGTCCGGCACACCCGCCTTGTTCCGTCCCCGGCCCCGTGTCCGGCACACCCGCCTTGTTCCGTCCCCGGCCCCGTGTCCGGCACACCCGCCTTGTTCCGTCCCCGGCCCCGTGTCCGGCACACCCGCCTTGTTCCGTCCCCGGCCCCGTGTCCGGCACACCCGCCTTGTTCCGTCCCCGGCCCCGTGTCCGGCACACCCGCCTTGTTCCGTCCCCGGCCCCGTGTCCGGCACACCCGCCTTGTTCCGTCCCCGGCCCCGTGTCCGGCACACCCGCCTTGTTCCGTCCCCGGCCCCGTGTCCGGCACACCCGCCTTGTTCCGTCCCCGGCCCCGTGTCCGGCACACCCGCCTTGTTCCGTCCCCGGCCCCGTGTCCGGCACACCCGCCTTGTTCCGTCCCCGGCCCCGTGTCCGGCACACCCGCCTTGTTCCGTCCCCGGCCCCGTGTCCGGCACACCCGCCTTGTTCCGTCCCCGGCCCCGTGTCCGGCACACCCGCCTTGTTCCGTCCCCGGCCCCGTGTCCGGCACACCCGCCTTGTTCCGTCCCCGGCCCCGTGTCCGGCACACCCGCCTTGTTCCGTCCCCGGCCCCGTGTCCGGCACACCCGCCTTGTTCCGTCCCCGGCCCCGTGTCCGGCACACCCGCCTTGTTCCGTCCCCGGCCCCGTGTCCGGCACACCCGCCTTGTTCCGTCCCCGGCCCCGTGTCCGGCACACCCGCCTTGTTCCGTCCCCGGCCCCGTGTCCGGCACACCCGCCTTGTTCCGTCCCCGTGTCCAGCACACCCACCTTGTTCCGTCCCCATGTCCAGCACACCCAGCTTGTTCCGTTCCCGGCCCCGTGTCCAGCACACCCGCCTTGTTCCATCCCTGTGTCCAGCACACCCGGCTTGTTCCAGCCCCGTGTCCAGCACACCCGCCTTGTTCCGTCCCCGGCCCCGTGTCCAGCACACCCGCCTTGTTCCATCCCCGGCCCGCTCTGGGTCTGTGCCGGCCCGGGTGGCCCCCGGGCTGGGCCGGGGCAGGGCAGGGGTGCAGGGATGCTGCCAGCGTGCAGGGGGTGTTACCGCCTTGTTTTAGGGGTGAGGGACATCCCCAGCACCTCATCCATCACTCCCAGGACTGGAATCAGGCTCCTGAGCGTGATGGAGCAGAGGGAAGAGGGTGATGATGGTGCGACAGGGGGAGGGAGGAGGATGGCAGTGGCACCCTTAATCCCTGCTCAGCCGGTGCTTGCAGGGCCCGGCTCCCTCATTAACACATTAATTAGCAGGTGCTCGGGAGCTCTGAGGCTGCGGCAGGGCTGTTTCCCCAAAATGTGTGACAGCAGCTCCGTGACCCGAGCTGACCCCAGCACAAACACCCGCCGTGCTCATCCGCTCCCCAAAACCAGGGAAGCACACGGGGCACGGGCACGGCAGCGAGGCCACGCGGCCCAAACACACCCGGCCACCACACCCTGCACGTGGGTGTGCTCCAGGAACAGCCAGGTGTGCAGCAGGCACACACACACATGGACACACACACAGGGACAGACACACACACACAGGGACAGACAAACACACACACATGGACAGACACACACACGGACAGACACACAGACACACATGGACAGACACACACACATGGACAGACAAACACACAGACACACGGACAGACACACACACACACACGGACAGACACACACACACACACGGACAGACACACACACACACGGACAGAGACACACACACACGGACAGACTCACACACACACAGACAGACACACACGGACAGACTCACACAGCCCTGTCCTGCACACCTGAGTGCCACACACAGCCCCAGGAGAGCACAAACACAGCACTCAGCATGGCACACACACAGCCAGGCAGCATGGGGAGGGTGCAAAGCCCTGGCACAGGTGCCAGATTTGCTGTGGCTGCCCCTGCATCCCTGGCAGTGCCCCAGGCCAGGCTGGACACTGGGGCTGGAGCAGCCTGGGACAGTGGGAGGTGTCCCTGCCATGGCAGGGGTGGCTCTGGGTGGGCTTTGGGGTCCCTTCCAACCCAAATCATCCCACAACCCGATGAGCAGCCACGTGAGCACACCCCAGGCATGGCAGCTCACACTGCTCTGCTGCTGGTGCACACACACCCAGAGCTGCTCACACTGCTCTGCTGGTGCACACACACCCAGAGCTGCTCACACTGTTCTGCTGGTGGTGCACACACACCCAGAGCTGCTCACACTGCTCTGCTCGTGCACATACACCCAGAGCTGCTCACACTGCTCTGCGGGTGATGCACACACACCCCGAGATGCTCACCCTGCTCTGCTGCTGGTGCCCACACCCCCAGAGCTGCTCACGCTGCTCTGCTGGTGCACACATACCCAGAGCTGCTCACGCTGCTCTGCTGGTGCACACATACCCAGAGCTGCTCACGCTGCTCTGCTGGTGCACACATACCCAGAGCTGCTCACGCTGCTCTGCTGGTGCACACATACCCAGAGCTGCTCACGCTGCTCTGCTGGTGCACACATACCCAGAGCTGCTCACGCTGCTCTGCTGGTGCACACATACCCAGAGCTGCTCACGCTGCTCTGCTGGTGCACACATACCCAGAGCTGCTCACGCTGCTCTGCTGGTGCACACATACCCAGAGCTGCTCACGCTGCTCTGCTGGTGCACACATACCCAGAGCTGCTCACGCTGCTCTGCTGGTGCACACATACCCAGAGCTGCTCACGCTGCTCTGCTGGTGCACACATACCCAGAGCTGCTCACGCTGCTCTGCTGGTGCACACATACCCAGAGCTGCTCACGCTGCTCTGCTGGTGCACACATACCCAGAGCTGCTCACGCTGCTCTGCTGGTGCACACATACCCAGAGCTGCTCACGCTGCTCTGCTGGTGCACACATACCCAGAGCTGCTCACGCTGCTCTGCTGGTGCACACATACCCAGAGCTGCTCACGCTGCTCTGCTGGTGCACACATACCCAGAGCTGCTCACGCTGCTCTGCTGGTGCACACATACCCAGAGCTGCTCACGCTGCTCTGCTGGTGCACACATACCCAGAGCTGCTCACGCTGCTCTGCTGGTGCACACATACCCAGAGCTGCTCACGCTGCTCTGCTGGTGCACACATACCCAGAGCTGCTCACGCTGCTCTGCTGGTGCACACATACCCAGAGCTGCTCACGCTGCTCTGCTGGTGCACACATACCCAGAGCTGCTCACGCTGCTCTGCTGGTGCACACATACCCAGAGCTGCTCACGCTGCTCTGCTGGTGCACACATACCCAGAGCTGCTCACGCTGCTCTGCTGGTGCACACATACCCAGAGCTGCTCACGCTGCTCTGCTGGTGCACACATACCCAGAGCTGCTCACGCTGCTCTGCTGGTGCACACATACCCAGAGCTGCTCACGCTGCTCTGCTGGTGCACACATACCCAGAGCTGCTCACGCTGCTCTGCTGGTGCACACATACCCAGAGCTGCTCACGCTGCTCTGCTGGTGCACACACACCCAGAGCTGCTCACACCTCCCCTCAGCATCCAGGAAGCCCTGAAGAGGCACAGACCCAGCTTTGCACACCTTTCTGGGCACACCTGAGCTCGGACAGGCACGCCTAGCCACACCAGGCTGAGCACAGGAACCCAAGCACACACGCCTGGCCTGGGACACCTGATCACACGCAGCTGATCCCAGAGCCCTGAGTGCACAGCCCGACACCAAACCTGACTGTGCACACTGAGCTGGCACACCTGGACACCATGATCTGCTCAGAAGCACGCAGGGAAGGGACAGGCAGCTCTTACTGACATAATTCCCACTGCTGGCTATCAATTATCGATTCATCACCAATTAGTTATCAGTTAATTTCTCCCCAACCTGCCGCTCGCAGGCAGAGCCTGGGAGCTCTGGGGGTGCTCTGGGAAGGATCCTGGAAGGGGCCCCAGGGGATTTGGAAGGCAAATGTGGAGCTGGGCAGCAGCTGTAAGGTGATGCTGATGGTTATCACCTGTGCCTCTCTCATTCCCATGGACTGGGTGGAAAAACACTCCTGGCAGAGGAAACGGAGCCCAGAGCCAAAGGTCTCCCAGGAGGACAACGGCTTCATGGTGTCTTGGAGCTGGCAGGGCTGGGAAATGTCCCCACAGTGTTTTCAGGGAAGGCTTTGCTGATTAAAATGATTTCTGATGACTTCCTCACATGCAGGAGAAAACCTCCAGGGCCACCAGCGCTCCCCGTGCTCTCCCTGCAGCCTCACAGGGGATTTTGTCCCTTGGGGTGGAGGAGCTCGGGGGCTGCTGGGGGCAGTTGTGGGGCAGGAGGGTTTCTCTGATGAATGGGAGGTCCAGGAGGTAGCTTTGGGGCATAAACCCAGGGTTTTAGGTGGTAACATTGTCCAAGTTCCACCAAGAGACATCTGACCCTCTATTTACCCTGTGTAGCTGTCTCCAGGCCCTGCTCCAGACTCATCCACGCTGTCCTTAATTCCCTCACCACACACCCCCGAGGTGCCCCTGGAGGCAGCCCCCAAACCCCTCACTGCCTGTCCCAAAACGTGCCCCAAACCTGAGGTGTCCTTGCCTAGCCCCAGGTCACCCCGCTCCTCACCCAGGCCGTCCCCCATCCCGGGAGCCCCGTTTCTCAGCCAGGTCATTATTTCAGAGTCAAAGTCATTCACAAGTGTGCAGAGGATGATGGGAATCAAAACAATTCCTTCAGGAATGCCAGCAGTGCTCCCAGCCCAGCACGGCCATGCCTGTCCCCCACCAACTCCTCACTGACTTGGGCCCCTCCAGATTTGCTCCAGCTCCTGAGGAGTGAGGTCTGGTTTGCTTGGACAGCACCAAGGGGCAGAATGACCCGGAGCTGGCCTGGAGGGAAACTCAGGAGCAGCTTGGGGTGGGCAGGGGGTGTTGTGTGGGGAACACGGGGTGGAAATGAGGATGGCAGTGCTACAGGCTCTACAGCAAATGGAGGTGACACTGCTCAGGCTGCCCCACCCTCCCTCTGGGAGAAAAACCTGGAATTTGGCACAGCCATGGCAGGGGGTGAGGACAGGGTGGGATTTAAGGTTCCTTCAGCCCAAACCAGTCTGTGGCTCGGTGATGCCAGCCTGGCCGTGTCCTGGGAGCACTGGTGGGACAAGGGACAAGGGTCCTGGGACAAGGTCTGGCTCGCCATGAGCCAGCCATGGAGGGCCGGGTCTGTGTGGACACTGAGTGGGTGGGAGAAGATGCAGAACCTGATAAGGGAGGATGCTGATGGGCACCACCAAGGGGCTGTGCCTGAGCCCCGGCCCTGAGGCCTTGGTGCTGGTGCTGGGTTCCTCTGGATTTATGGAATTGTTTGGATGGGAAGAGACCCCAGAGCTCATCTCATTCCCCCCCCTACCATGGGCAGCGTCACCTTCCACTATTCCCCACTGCTCCAAACCCTGCCCAACCAGGCCTTGCACCCCTCCAGGGACGGGGCAGCCACAGGTTCTGCAGGACTGACTGCCAGGCACCCCTTCCCTCCACCCCGCACCCGGGACAGGGACAAAGCACTCACTGCTGCTTGCGGGTGAGCTCCTGCTCCTTCTGCACCAGGTCCTGCTTGAGGGACGCCAGCATCTCCACGCTGACGTCCACCTGGCGGGACAGCTCCGACGCCCGGTCCTCCAGCTCCTGCTTCTCGCGGCTCAGCCGCAGGCTCTCCTGCTTGGCCTTCTCCAGCTCCGAGCTCTTGCGGTCCAGCTCCACCTGCAGCCGGCCCACCTGCGAGGCGATCTTCTGCTCCACCTCCTCCGTCAGCTTCTCCAGCCTCTTGTCCACCTCCAGCTTCTCGAAGGCGCGGATCTTCAGGCGGGCCAGGCCCTCCTCGTAGGCCGAGTCCATGGCGGCGGGCGGGACGGGCGCGGGCGCCACGGCCTTGCCCCGGGTGAAGATCTCGCTCAGCGGGATCTCGATCTCGTGCACATAGCGGGGCGAGGGCGACGGGGACGGCGCCGGCTCCAGCTCGTCGGCGGGGACCAGGTCGCAGGAGAAGCGCTGGTCCTTGCCCTGGAAGGAGGTGCTCTCAAAGTAGTCCCTGCGCGCGGCCGGGGCCAGCAGGGCCCCGTCGGCGGCCAGCGGGAAGACGGTGGCGTCGCAGATGCTGTTGGTCTTGGAGAGCACGTAGAGGGTCTCGTAGGTGTGGTTGTACTCCAGGTGCGCGCGCAGCGAGGACAGGCTGCGGAAGCGCTTGTGCTCGCCGCAGCGCGGGCAGCGGTAGGGCAGGTCCAGCGAGGCCATCCCTCAGCTCTGCTCCCCGCCGGGACCCCGCTCATGGCGCGGCGCCGGGGCTGCGGGCACCCGCGGGGGTGGCCGGGGAGCCCCCGGCAGAGGGGTGGTGGCACCGCTGGGACATGGCGTGGGGACGGCCCGGGCTGGAGTGGCGGGGATCCGGCAGTCCTGGGGGGGTGTCAGCATCGAGCGGAGCCGGGTGCTGGAAGAGATGGGGGTCAGTGATGCCGGGGTGGGGGGTCCCCAAAAATCCCTCCTTGGTCCGTCTTCTGGGTGCCCTCTGTGCCTCCATCCCACCCGCCCGTGTTCCTCCCGCCCACCTGCGTCCCTTGGGAGGGCATGCGGTGCTAAAGAGGCTGCAGAGCCCTGGGGATGTGCAGAGCCCTGGGAAGCTCTGGAGCCATTGGGAAGTTCCACCACCCTTGTGAAGACCAACAGCTTTTGAGAAGCTCCACAAGGCTTGGGAAGTTCCTGGACTGGATCATCTTAGAGGGATTTTCCAACCTGAATGGTCCTGTGGTTCTGTGAACCCTTGGGAAGATCCGTAACTGCTGGGAAGGCCTCCCACCCCTCGGGAAGGTTCACAGCCATCTGGAGAGCACAGCCACCAGGAGGGTGCACAGCCCATGGAATTCTCTCCATGCACCCTGAGCTGTCACAGGAGGTGGCAGGGGTGACCCTTTTGCTCTCTTGCCCAACGAGCCCCTGCAGCGTCAGGGGTCCCCAGGAGCCAGGACCATCCCCCTGTCCGACACCAGGAGCAGCTGCTGGGATCCCCCTTCTCCAAGAGAAGGCCACCCCACTCCTGCTGGATCAGCCCGTGAAGGCTGCAATGGGATCCATCCCCAAGAGTTCTCAGCCATCCCTGGGCTGCCCGATGCAGGGGACACGGTGGCCTCTCCTGCCTGGGTGGGTGAGGGTCCCTGTGGGGCCTGGCTCACCCCCCACTCACGACATCAGTGGGGGGAACCCCACCCCTGTGAAATGGGACAAACCAGTGAAAATCCAGCCCAGGAGGCTGCAGAGGTCCCCTCCAGGCTGGGGGGCACAAACACACCTCGGGGCACAATACTTTCACTTTTCATTCATTTGTCACTCAAAGATGAAAACGGCAATGCTTTTACCCCAGAGCACCGAGGGCACCCCTGGGTGGGAGCATCCCCTGCTCATCCCTCTGCAACGTCCCACAAAGAGCTCTTCCCACCCCCCTAAAACCCTCAGAGCCCTCCTGCATCCCATAACCACCAGCTGGTGAGCCCTGAACTGCCCCTAAAACCCTCAGAGCCCTCCTGCATCCCATAACCACCAGCTGGTGAGCCCTGAACTGCCCCTAAAACCCTCAGAGCCCTCCTGCATCCCATAACCACCAGCTGGTGAGCCCTGAACTGCCCGGAGCCTCCATCCATCCCTGTGGTCCCAGGGCAGCATCCCCTCAGAGGCACAACCAGGCCACGAGGCTGGGAAACCATTTTTTAAGGGAAAAATCAGCAAAGGCAAGAAATCCACGCCAGAAATAAAACCAGGATGAGCCGGGAGGGTTTGTGACCCGCCTGGCTGCGTTTTGGGGTCGTTACCAAGCACCCCCTCCCACATCAGCCCCACCCGGCCGGAACGCGACCCGCGGCAAGCACAAAGCGCGTCCGGCAACTTCGGCCGCTGCCGGGGGATGAGAAAGCGCTTTTCCAGCGCAGGGATGGGGAATCGTGCCGTGCTGCCTCAGGCCTGCATGCCTGCCCGCGTCTCCCGGGGCACCCGAGCAGCCCCAGCCCGAATTTCCCGGCCGAAATCCAAGGCAGGGTCGGCCCAGGTGGATCGGGAAGCGCGCGGAGCCCGCTCCTTGTCCTGGGCAGCTCCTGCCCCGGCCGCAAACCTCTCCTCGCTCCCATCTCCACGGCAACAACCAGGATTTGAGGGGATGATTCGCGGAGTGGTTACCACGCTAATAAAACCCACAGGCATCCGGAGCCGGGAAGCGCTGCCGGCCGCCGGGACTGCAGCACGGCCGGGCTGCCCCAGCCGCCACCTGCGGCCCGTCACGGAGCCTTCCCCGGCATTGTTCAGCGCCCTCCTGCCCACCCGCCCGCCCACCCCCAGACGGGGTGGATGGGGGGTGATGCCGGGATGGATGGGGTGCGATGCCGGGATGGATGGGGGGCGATGCTGGGGTGGATGCAGGGCGATGCCGGGATGGATGCAGGGCGATGCCGGGATGGAGGGTGGGCGATGCCGGGATGGATGGGCGGTGATGGGGATGCTGCCCGCGCCGCTGGTCCCCATCCTTCCCGGCGCTCCAGCGGGGTGGGAGCACCGTGGTGGGCGACGACGGCTGGGGCTGAGGCACAGAGGGCTCGGGGGAGGTGGGCACGAAAATCCGGGTGCTTTTTTTGCCCCCCCCCCCAAGCCCCTGGAGCAGGGAGCGGCGGGTCCGTCCTCACATCCTGGCAGCGGCTTTGTCCCCGCTGCGTCCCCCTGCTCCCGGGGGCCCTGGGTGAGGAGCATCCTGGGGACGAGCCACCGCCTCCCAGGGCACCGTCGCCGCTCCATCCCATCCCCTGTCGCCCCATACCTGCTTGTGGCCGCCGACCTGGCGCGCTGGGCTCCTCCGGCGAGGGCAGCATCTCTCCCGCTCGGCCGCGGGCCGCCCCCGAGCGGGGCTGCGGGGGGGACGGAGCCCGCACAGCTCCAAAGCCGCACAAAGGAGGCGGCTGCCGGGCGCTCAGGGCTGTGCCGGGGCGGGGGGATGCGGGCCACGGGGGATGCGGGCACGGGGATGCGGGGCAGCGGGGATGCAGCCCGCGGGAAGAGCCCGGCTCCCCGCGGCCAGCACCTCCATGCCAGGCAGGCCCTGGGGAAGGAGGGAGGGAGGAAGGGAGGGAGGGAGGGTGGTGGCTGCGGGGTGGGGGGAGGAGGAGGAGGCGGAGGAGGAGGAGGAGGAGGAGGAAGGAAGCCGAGGCTGAAGGCCCCGGCGGGGTGCTGGGAGGGTTCTGGGCACCCTGGGGATGGCAGCTCCCCGGGGCGCGGGCTCGGCGTGGCGGGCGAGGGAGGATGCAGGGATGGAGGGAGGCGGAGGGCGAGCGCCGGCAGCCGCCTCCTCCCCTGCAGCCGGAGCCGGGGCCCTCCCGCACAGCTCCCTCTGCCTGTCTCCCCACGAACACGGCGGGCCCGGCTGCCACGGCAGCCCCCGGCCCCGCACGCCCTGTCCCACCGCCCCCGGCAGCTCCTGGCCGGGATCCCCCGGAGCATCCTGCCCGGAATGCAGGGCTGGTGTGGGGCCCAGCCTGGGCTGCTCCTGCCCCGTGCCGGGCTGGACGCAGGTGCCAGGACACGGGCTTGGTCCCAGGACAGTCCCTGATCATCCTGTCTTCATCCCTGGCTTGATCCCCACGGAGTCCCTGAGTATTCTGCCTTGGTCCTGATTGTCCCTGAGCACCCTGGCTTTGTCCCTGCCTCAGTCCTGGTCCGGTCCCTGACATCCTGGCTTGGTCCCTGGCTGGGTCCCGAGCTGGTCCCTGATCATCCTGGCTTAATCCCTGCCTTGGTCCTGGTCCAGTGCCCGAGTACCTGGCGTGGTTCCCAGCCGGGTCCTGCTCTGGTCCCTGAATGCCCCAGTATGGTCCCCAGGTTGTCCCCAAGCCCCTGCTCTGGTCCCAGTCCAGTCACCCTGGGATCACCCTGGGCTGGTTCCCAGCTTGGTCCTGCTCTGGTCCAAGGCTGCCCTGGTTAATCCCTGCCTTGGTCCTGAATCCCTGAGCATCCACTTGTGGGCCCTGGCTCCATCCCCAGATGGTCCCTGAGCTTTAAGCCTGGCTTGATCCTGATCCAGTTCCTGGTGCCCGTGCCAAAGGCATCCAGCACTGCCATGCTCCCTCTCTGGGGTGGGCAGGGGGTGGGCATGGGGTGGGCACGGGATGGGCACAGGGGGGATGGCAGCGCTGGGCCCAGGGTGCTGCTGACACGGGGACAGGTGGGTGTCCCCATCCCCTGGGACCTGGGGTGCCACCCCTGCCCCCCTGCTCGTGTGCCCAGTGCCAGCCCAGCCTGGAGCACCTGCCCCAGAGGCTCTGAGGGGCTCTGGGGGGTTCTGGGGTGGCTCTGGGGGGCTGTGGAGCAGCTCTGGGGGGCTCTGGGGGTCTCCCATCCCTCCCATGTCCCTGGCAGCGCTGGCCAGAGGAGCAGAGGCCCAGGGCTGGAGCGGTGCCCCTGCAGAGTTCCAGGCTCACATCAATTATGGATGGGTTCCTGAGGGGTATTAATCAAGGCCTCCTGCATCATTCATGGCCAGCGGTGAGGGAGAGCTCGGCTCTGCTGCCCCGCGGGATCTGGCATCCCCAGAGAGGGGCCAGCCCCCCTCCCCAAAGGAAACCTGGGCTCCTTATTGACCATAAGAGCTGGGCTGTCCCCCCAGAAAAGGTTTTCCTGCATGTCTGGGGTCAGCTGCACCCCTTGGAGTGGTTCTGGCTCAGGGCTGGGCTCCCACACGCTGGGAGGTTCACCCGAGGGTCACGAGCACCCTTGGGTGCTATCGGGGTGTGAGGTTTTAGGGACACATCTCAGGGGAAATTTGGGATTTCCCCCTCAGCCAGGTTGCCTTCTGGCCCCTTCCCACATCCCATCTCTGCTGCCAGCCCCCCATGCCCTGCCCAGCTCCCCATCCCAGGGTCCCCACAGCCCATGCAAGCTCTGATTCTGCTGGGACCCCCGGGACACAGGATTTTCTGGGATTACTGGGATGCTGAGTTCTGCTGGGACACCTGTGCCTGTGGATTTTCTGGGATTACTGGTGTTTAGCCCCGGAATGCTGCAGCCCGCATGTTGACAAAGGGCTGAGGGGCATGAGGGAATAACACAGCATTACCCCTCTCTCCTGCATAATATGGCTGGGGGCAGATCCCCCCCTCCAGGGCTGCAGAAGGGGGCAAAATCCATCAGAAAAGGAAAGAGCAGATTGCAGCTGTGCCCTTTTCTCCCTCTGCCAGCAAAGGAGCATCGCCCCTAAATCACCTGAGCAT